GGCAAATCCAAAAAACTTTCAAATCTCCAAACGGAATTGCTAAATCATCAAAATAAACGTATCTGAATAAAAAGAATGTTAATTGAATTATCAAATTCAATTAAGGTTGCATGAATGAATGGTTGTCTCAGATGTAGTTATAATTGTTCAACCAATTTTTGTCAATACAAATGAAATGTTTAAATAACTCATTTTATATTGGTTTTAAACCTGGCGAATGAAATACATTATATTCTTATCATTGTTATTGTAGCTATCTTTTTGCAAATAGACGAAGCATGTCCCTGTAATAATTTGCTTATTTTATGTATTTTTATGGCTCATATAGTCCATATCAATGTTTCAGTTGATTTTCGGCAGCTCGAAGGAAATGAAGATAAATAATTGTAATGTGATTAATGAAACAGACCGATTGTCTGGTTTAGTGTGGATTATTTCTGAAAATCATCAGCAAGCAGTTCGCGCGGTCCTTTTAATCACAGGTACGTGTGCTTGAGTTAACGTAAACAACTCCTTAAAAGGCCACAACACAACCATAGAGTGGGAGTTTATCCAGGCGGAAAAAGTACAATTCACGGATCATTTCTCAGTTGTCGAAATTACGAAAGAATGTGAACCTAACACTATGAAATCAATGCATAAATGGAAAGTGTAAATGCAGTATTTGGAAGCAGGAACGCTGGAACTCCATTTGCACGCCTTTTGCCAGCAGAGGCAAGGAGAAATAAGTTGCTTGCTAAAGCCGGTTTTCCACTAGGCGGAATTTTCCCATCGAACGAAATTTTTCGCTCGATTTTCTCAGTCTTAATTATGAGAATTCGACCGTAGCAGATTCTCTTCACTGGTCACAATTGAAAAGAAAACCGAGCGAAAAACGTCCGCCAATTGGAAAACCGCCCTGAAATCGTAATTACTATATAAAATTATAAAGGTTCTCAAATATTAATTCCGTGAAAACAGTGAAAAATTGTTTAACCAAAAAATGGTGCGTTAGTTCCATTGGCGTGAATCGAACGCTAATTGAGGAGGGCCATATTCATGCTATGCCTGGCTAATTTCTTTGAAAACAATTTCACTTTCACTAGAAATAAGCCTGGCATGACAGAGTATAAATATCCCCTTCAATTAATGTTCCATTGACGCCAAATGTTCAAATGCATGTCGATGTTCTCCTTCATTGCCTTTTCACAGTTTAATGCAGCATAATCGTGTATAAAATTGGTGTATGCAGTCGCCTGATAGTGACCACATTCGTGAATCGCTGGTATCTACAGGGTGAGACAAAAAAAACTGTCACCTTTGAAATTCAAATTAGTCGCATAGCGGCTGCAATGTGGCAGAAGTTGCTTAAAATATTTCATAGGTATACGAAGCATATCATATTAATTAACCTAAAGCATAAAGTTTGTTCCCATTGGGAGTTAAAATGCATTCTAAGCTCTGTAAATACAAAAGAATAGTTTATCAAATCGCTTTTGTTGATTGTACATGGGAATTGTCATATTCCAGCCATAAGTTAATTCGCAGCTAATGAATTTGAATTTCAAAGGTGTCATTTTTTTTACTCACCCTGTACATAAAAGGGCATTCTAATGAGGCGCATACACGCATCAAACTTAAAATTCATTGTTTTCTATTGCAAGTTTAATTTTCACACTTGGTACACAAGGTGAAGGTCCTTTAAAGCAATCCCCACCCCCATGATTTTTTTACGTTTGCGCGCCAACGCGAGCCAAGCGGACTGAGCTGATGAAGTTTAATTTCTACACTTTTTTTTCTCAAATTTCAAGGCCAGGAAATTTGTTTGTATGTAAACCCAATTACATTATAGAATGTATATGTAATACTTCCTGACTATAGCTTAGCGCTTTAACTCGAAATTTTTGCTCGGATTCAGTGAGAAGTTTAGAGAGAATATACGCACATTTATGCAAGAGAACTCGGAAATTAAGAGCATAAAAAATTTAATAATGCAGATTTTAGTCTGCCACTGAGGAAGGTCACAACATCGCTATAGAGGACAATCCGCCATTTTTTGAAAATCTTAAGGGTTACACCAGAATTCTGTAGTCTCTTGCATATAGGTTCGTGTTAAACACATTGCACACGTAATGTCATTTTCACGAGCAATCTCGAAACACTACATTTTATACAAGTTATATACCAGCGTAAACAATGGTAAATATAAAATAAGCGTTTCTAAAAATATGGCGATTTTGGTAGGATTTAGTTGGGAGGAAGGTAATTCTCGGTAATTACCAATTACAAATCTATCCTGACTACCCTATGCATGCATGACTTGCCTCATATAGGTAATTCCTATGAATAAGACAAATAAGTATATTGGAAAGGAAGGAAATTCGGTAAACTCGGAAAAATATTTACTTGATCACATGGGGAAGTCTACTAAAATGAAATACAAAGGAAAACGAAGAGGATATACATGCAGTAACTGATACCATAGTGTCCTCGGTGTATGTTAAGTAGCAAGTCGCTGTAAATGTTGTTAGTGTTATTAAAATACAGTTCGAGACAATATAATACGGTGAAGATTGATGCATGAAAAGGAAAGGAAATAATTAGCCTAAGTCAGTGTATGGAACGTGCCTAATCTCTTGAAATATAAGTATACCCTCCAGTGGAGAGCATGAATCATACATAAGTTTAGAACAAGCCAAGTCAAATTGGCCTCTGTCAGCGTATAGGACTTGCTATTGATGGGTGTAAACTCTTCATATACAAGTACCGTCTATTGAAGAGCATGAATAATCATTCCTACAGTGATTTTAAGATAGGACAAGTCGTGTTAGCTATGTATGTAAGCGTGGATTTCCACTTACAGAGAAATAGTTTGCTAGCGAAATATTTGCATAAAGACAAATATATTTCGCTGGCGAACTATTTCTCTGTAAGTGGGAATCCAGCCTATATGTATTGTTATTGATTAATCTTTTAATAACCTTTTAAAGTGGGTATTTCCTACGGGAGACCATGAATCTTTGTTATCATTGGAGAATTAATCAAGTCAAATTAGCCCATATAAGTTAGCCTGTTTGATCAAACGATCTTTTAAAATCGATTGTTTTTTCAGTCTGTTAATATGAATATATGAATACCCTCGCCCTTACTACCGATGCTGCCCCCCCCCTCTTAAATGAATCCGCAGGTAACAGACGTTTCTTCATAAAAGGGAGTCAGAATTCATCTCATTATACACCATACTTTGTTCGACACGCGACTACTGAAACACATTAGATTTTGAGCAGGCAGGAAAAACTAGATACAGCCGATAGCAGATAGCTGTATGGAAGCTGATTCCTACGTAAACACAAAGACGATTCCTGTAGGAATGGGGCGGATGAGAGCGCGTCCGAATAATGACTGTTTTAAAAACTTTCCATTTTCCATTAGGGTTTAAAAGTGGTCTCCTAGGTTGATATATAAAAGAATATTTGATTGATGATGTACTTGCATTACCCCATGGCGACATGCACTCAGAAGATTAATATCTCCTGCGGAATACGTTCGGTCGACCATTCTGAGTCACAAAATGGGTTTTGAAACAAAATCAGTTTTGTCTCAATCCGAATGGATTAGTGCGTTTTTTTAACTGCATTTTGTCAGAAAAGGAAATTATTTCAAACAACACTTTATGACTTGATGACTTTAAGCTTATCAGGAACTCGAATTTCCTCTTTGTTCGTTCTAAGCCGGTACAAAAATAAATATATGTTTGGGTTTTACGGCACATAATTTCAGATGATCGAATATCATAACAATTTTCATACCCTGCCCTTTTTGGTCAATTTAGATTTGAACGCCTGCTTATATGGCAACGAATTTTCGCTACTTAGGTGAACCCTCTTTAGAAAAAATGCATTAGCGCTCGCGGGACCATCCATAGCATGAGAAAAAATTTATCAAGCGTCCTCTTTACTACCTTGATATGTCCGCCTCGATTTTCACGGTGGAGGTGGCCTGGATGGGGTGAACTGCAGTTCGACAAGGTCTGGTTATTTTTATTACCACGTTCGGTTGGAAGCCCAACCTGACTTTAATGATTACAAATTTATACCAGAGGGGGGAGCAGTCTGACTAGATTTGAAACGTTTTGGGATAAATATTCGCATATAATTTTACGGTCACGCTTGTGGACTGTGGAAGTGTTTAGATGTCTAGCTAACATACTATTACAGTATGTTACTCTAGTATTGATTATAATACTACAGCCATTACTTATTCAGCTCATTTTTGCAATGAAATGAACTTAGAGGGGGGGGGGAGACCTCTCACCCTCCATTCCCTTTGGTACAGCCACAATACCGTAATTACCGTTTTTCATGTAGTGTTCTGTGCAGTGCAAATACCTATTTGGCGAGACTAGGTAGTTATGCAGGGGTATCAACTATCAACTGCCACAACGTTCCGTGTTGAGACTTTACACTACAGAAGTATCTTCTTGTCGCTTCTTTACACTGAGTAAAGTCTAAAGTCTTTACCAATTACGTGAATTACCAGAACGTTTAATTAGGCTGTGATGAGTAGAAGAGAGTTTGGCATTAATATATATTCTCTTTGGCTCTTTGCCTTGCACTATTCTCTGTCTCTGAGCTATTACAGTTGTTAGACTCATATTAAACTGTAGACGCATTCTACGCGAACATTTCGTAGGATTGGACAAAATCGTGCGACAAAAGTCATAGTAATATTTACAAAGACAGTAATGGCAGCTCAGCGCCAGCTTCCGAAATCCGAAAATATTATGTGTATAAAAATTATTTAATCTAAAAAAACGACACATTTTGGGCCGTCTATGATAAAAAAAAAGAGGAAAAATAATACATTTTTTTCGTCTATGATAAAAAAAAAGAGGAAAAATAATACATTTTTTTTAAAGGGGAGCTTAGTGACCTCCTGAATCTCTGAATTCACAAAAGTCCATCGATTTCCCTTGTTATCCCCAAGAAACAAAATGGCGTAAAATTGTTACGTTTTGTTCACTGAGCTATAGTTTTGTTGTTTTGCAAATTCTATCGTAGGTTTCTGGGGCTATATTTTCACTATGGTGAAGGCACGAAAGAAAGGTGGGTTGCATTCAGTATAGCCTTTGTCTTCATGTTCTTTTAATGCTACAGATGAAGTAGAATTCTTTTGTATTCGTTTGTATGTACAATATAATATTATAAATTCATTTAAGATTTTTTAATACACATCCTGATAAATATAGACATTTTATTAATACACATACATAAATGTATGGTTGCACTTGTATGATCACGATATCACAAGTAAAATAAAAATAAATCTATTGATTTTCCTGAATTCTGAGTGGCGAGTGCTGACCATATATATAGCTATGGTAGACATGGTAGTCTGGTAGATATTCCTTTAGGGGTAGAGAGGAATTAAACTGGAATTTCTGGAACTGGAATTTGGTTTGGAAATAAGCTTGATAACATTTGCATTGTGGTATGCTTAGTGCCAGACTGGAAAGTGGGCAAACTGTAAATAAATATATAAAAATTGTTTTACCGCTGGTGCTTGCAATGCATATATTCTTTCCTGCTTAACCTATTGGTCAATCTAACTGGCCTTGAAAAACCATGCATCATTCATTTTTGGAAGGCTGTAAACTAAGCTTTTAAAGATACCAACAAATATAGCTTTTCAAGAAATGCATAGTAGCTAGATTATTTTTACCAATCCCATTTTCCAACTCTGAGTATAAATACTAAACAAGAATTATCATTCATAATATATATTCGCTTGTGGGTCCTTTTCACTTTATAGGACTTTAAAATAACGACATTTCTCAAATATTTAGTGCCAGAGGCTTCACGAGCTGAGCTGATGATGCTGACAATATCAGATATTGTGAATCAACTAATTGAAGCACACAACAAGGGAGAAGATTCAAATTTAAATAAGTAAGTGCTTTATCTTAAATGTATTTGAATAAACAATATATTATTCATCACAAGTTTGAACTGCATCGAAGTCATTAGTGCAAACAACTGTAATTGGAATCTTTTTTAAGAATTAAAAGTCATGCAGCCAGTAAATATGGACTGGCATCACAACCAAGACTGGTGGATATCATTGCAGCTGTTCCTGCTGCTTATAAAAAGGTGTTGTTTTTTTACTGGCTTTTTAAGCCAAAGCCATTGTGTACTTGTTTCATCATCTCTAGTACCCCTGAAGACATTGCGGGCTCACTGGTTTAATTTTATTGAAATATAAAAGTAACTCCACTATGGTGAATGCATATTGTTTTTTTATATCACCACTCTAGGATTTGCTTCCAAAGCTTAAGGCCAAGCCTGTCAGAACTGCATCTGGGGTAACACAGTGTCTTTCTTTATATAGTGTAAACTCATTAAATTGGCAGTTACTGTAATCTGTCTTAGGAGAAGAGCACCCAATTGCAGACCCTCTAAACAAACTTGCATTTCATCTTGCATAAATAGAAAGAAATGTGAGTTCACTTTACCCCAAGGCTGCCACCCATTGTGTATAGTACATCTTAATAGTATATATACATTTGCAATAATCATACTTCAACCATTTTCGCTCTTGGCCCATTAAGCCAGTAGAAGATTGCCAACTCACAAGAACAAATATTGTTACTGTTACCTGACATATCATTCATATGCAGTAGCATAGCCAGCCTGACAATTTAGTCCTGCTATACAAATTTCAGATTGCAGTTGTTGCTGTGATGTGCAAGCCTCACCGTTGCCCGCATATCAATATGACTGGAAATATCTGTGTGTAAGTAGCTACATGTCACCACTAACTTTCAATGCCATCTATCTAGGTAACCCGGGAAAGATTCACACAGTCAGATTGATTTATTTGTTTAGAATGTCTTATTAAATGTGTAACAAGAAAAGCATTGGTGAATGTTCATGAATCATAGTTTCATGTTGGTTCATGAGTCAAATAGTTTCATTTAATAATGAGCAAAACTATTGATCAGACCAAGAGCGGCAATCAAATGTGCCACAGAAATTGTATCAATCGTCATTCTTGAATCCGATATTCTCTCGAGTAGATATTGTTAGAAATCTGTGGCAATTCTCCCTTCCCCAATTTCCCGCCAAATTAAGTTTTCCCGGGAAACTTTCCTGCGCTTTGTCTCGCGGATTTTCCGAAGTGTGTCCGAAAAGTGGCTCGTGCAACTCCGATTTGACATCGCTATTCTGATTATTTTGATAAAATCTGGACAACCAAATCATGTATTTTATAATTTTTTTACAGTTATTGTCCGGGTGGCCCAGACTCGGACTTCGAATATTCAACTCAGTCATACACTGGTTACGAGGTAGGGTAGATTTTAATAAAATAACACGAATATTCAAAATTTGATACCGGAAAGCGGGATTTTTGAAGGTATAGGGCCCGAAGAACTGCCCTGAAACCAGCATCAACCTGTGCAGATAACAGCCCTTGCGCTTTAATAGCATCATGGCTCTAAATGATCCCACAACCATTTGCACGTTTCTCGCTAGGGCAAAGCTTCAGCAGTGTTCAGTGGGGGGAAATAGTTGCCCATTTGGAGGTAATGTGGCGACTATCCCCCGAAATATTCACGGTTCAGAAAACTCCTTTAACTAGTATACCGATGGAAGTATTTTGCTAGCTGAAAGGGTGGGAAAAGAGGTGATCATGCCATTGGATTCTGATTAGATTATATTTCTGTTTAGCCTACATCAATGAGAGCTATTCGCGCCAGATATAATCCATATGTTCAAACAAGACACAGACTTGAACAGGTATTGGAGTAAACACGGCATTGGAGACTACTAAAACCATTTAACTTTGTCTATAACCATTATATATTTAACTTTTTAAGTTATCTGAATTTTGATAATTTCACCAGTATTCCAAGGCCGCACTTTGCATTGACTCGATTATCGGTAGTGATTCCATGTCCAGAATTCACAAATATAATCCTATCTTTAATCCTAAACCAGAATATAATCATGTCTTTAATCCTAAACCAGACCATAACCGTTACCCAATTGCTAACTGTGAGGGATTAAATTGAGGATTATGTTCGTGAATTCTCAACGTGGAATTATTACGAATCGATGGTGTGACACTGATGGCTGATCATCTGATAAAACACTGGATATAGCAACAATATCTATAAAAATTAATGCCAGACTTATTAAAGATCAAGAGATTGATTTAGTTGCCATATACAGTGTATTGTTAGATCAGTGCTAACACCGCGGTGGTTTTTCTGTCAACGTGTGAGTGTTCGTGAATCAGGGAATAAAATTATTGCCATTTCTCTTTCTCTAGCTCAAACAGTTAGGACACAGCATTGACAAGGTAGCTATTGTATGCTTTAAATCGTATTAATAGACGTTTTGCACCAGAGACTAAATATTTGTAGTGGTATAAAAAGGTGTTCTTCCAGAAAAAGCCTACTAACATTATTAAAACTGCAAAATTTGGTTCGAAACTTTGTAAAATGCGGGAAGTATTTTTGCGAACTTTGCACAGTTTTCATACTTTTCCAGCATCTAAAAAAATTGTTATCACGTTTGGGCCAAAAACGGGTTAAATTTACGTACGCAGTAAAATAGTACAATTTAGCAAATAACAATTTACAATATAGCTACAAATATAACATATAATAATGGTACATTTTCAAACAAGCTTGTATACTCTTCGCATTTCACATCATTTCGGAACGATTTTGCATATTTACTAGCTTTTTAGTATACTCTTTCCTGTTTTGATGATAATTTTTTACCCCACCTTGCCATGCAGTAGATCAAAAGTTAGTCTTGAGTCCATAGTCCATCATGAAAATTCCCTGCGATGCAAGTTACCTTGCAACTTTTTTATGATTAAGAGCCGCAGTATATTCAACGCTTTATTTTTTCCTTCAAGGTTGAGTTCATCGTGATGGGTGGGACCTTTATGTCCCTGGATGATGAATATCGAGACTTCTTTATCAGAAATCTTCACGACGCACTTTCTGGTCACGTCAGTAATAATGTCAACGAAGCTGTTTGGTAAAGCCCGTTTTCCACTTGGCGAATTACCACAAATTCTGCAACGAGATTGGCATTCGCTGACCAATCACGATGCTGGATTTCCGCGTAGAACTTTCTTTATATATAAATGTACTGTATATCTAGTCCTAGACTAGCAAAGATAGTGAAGTTTAACGTCCATTTGATATTTTTCTTCATAGTTTCTCGGAGAAAAGTAAAACGAAGTGTATTGGCATCACAATAGAAACAAGACCAGATTACTGTCTAACAAAACATTTGAGGTACGACCAGATTACTGTCTAACAAAACATTTGTACGACCAGATTACTGTCTCACAAAACATTTGAGGTACGACCAGATTACTGTCTCACAAAACATTTGAGGTACGACCAGATTACTGTCTCACAAAACATTTGAGGTACGACCAGATTACTGTCTCACAAAACATTTGAGGTACGACCAGATTACTGTCTCACAAAACATTTGAGGTACGACCAGATTACTGTCTCACAAAACATTTGAGGTACGACCAGATTACTGTCTCACAAAACATTTGAGGTACGACCAGATTACTGTCTCACAAAACATTTGAGGTACGACCAGATTACTGTCTCACAAAACATTTGAGGTACGACCAGATTACTGTGTCACCAGAACTAGTGACAGGATCAGTAAATGGCATTATAGGATAGAAAATAAACATTTCCTACTAAGAAAACGTCTGACATTTTCGCGAACACTCGTGAAAATTCAACTTCTAATTTCTCTTTTTTCTACTAATTTCTCTTCGCTATGCAGTTCTATGCTGGAATATGGTTGCACGAGACTTGAAATTGGAGTTCAAAGTGTCTATGAAGATGTTGCGAGAGATACGAATAGGTAAGATATTTTCTGTCAATGACTTTTTTCTGGTGATAATTTATATCACTCAGGGGCCTGTTGTACTGTATCAATCCAGTTTAATTTGAACGGTGGTTCAGTTCAAAATAGAAAGCAAGTCTATCGTTTTATTCAATAAGCAAACTAAATGTTTTTAACCTTAATACAACAATACTGTTTATATTCAATGCATAATATTCAAGTTGACTCATTCAAGAGAGATGTAAGAGTGTTATTTAATTTTGATTTATCCACCGTTTAAGCTAAACGCGCTTGATACAACCGCCCCCTCCCAGATGAATTGTTGTTGTGATGTCGCTTTTCACCGAACTTTCTTCTTAATTTCAAATTTCTTCTACCGAACATCCGTAATGTGTTCTAATGATTTTGTCAGGGGACATACCGTAATAGCGACGTGCGAATCGTTTAACATGGCCAAAGACGCTGGATTTAAGGTGCGGTAGGATTCCGAACACGGCGATGAGCTGTATTATTACTGTATTTGTTCACCTACTAGAAAATACAATAGAGGGGTTGGTTACGAAGAGGCGTTTATTTTCAAAAGTGTTGAAATTGAAAATTAAAACAAAATGTTCATGCCGATGCAGCAAAATATGATAATAAGAATTTTTTGCTATCTCATGCTGTAGGAATAGGAAGATAGGCTCGGGATTCGGGAAATTGCTCCTTAGAACTTGAACTCCAACCATTGTCTTTCAACCATATGAATATTTTATAGGTCGTCTCCCACATGATGCCAGATTTGCCAAATGTTGGCTTAGAACGGGACATTGAACAATTTATTGTAAGTACAAACGCGCCAATGTTTGTTCCAAATGATGGATCTGCTAGCTCAAGCCTTTGCTACAATTCTTTGAGCTCGCCCATATATTTTAACCGATCAGCGCGCGGAATAGCTGTCGAAATAAGAAATCCACTCTGCAGTATTTAATCGATTTAATAGCTATATATTTTGTTATCTTTACGAACTTAATCGCCGTCCTGAATTTTGTGATTATGTTTAGCCACAAAAACTAGTTCTGACATAAATTTGAAATCGAAATAAAGTATATTTCATGAGATAATAAGTTGATAGTAATAGCTAGTGCATGAGACTCGGGTGTAGACCAATAGCTAGTGCACGAGACTCGGGTGTAGACTATATGAAATGAATATTGTGATGATGCTATCCTGAGTAACCAATCGGGTTAGCTGAAAACTTAGCTTAACCACAGTGGGAATCGAACCTGCGACCTGAGTTGCATCATCACAATATTCATTTCAAATACTAAGCTGTTTCAACCGAGAAATGCATTTTTATTTGACCTTTCCCGCCAGTTTTGAACACTGAGATGCTTCAACTACAGTAGCTATATGTCTATATCTAATGGGGTTTTCTTTTTTTTTCCTAAGGAATTTTTCGAGAATCCGGCATTCAGAGCTGACGGCTTAAAGATATATCCAACCTTGGTTATTCGTGGAACAGGTGCCGAATGTTAAAGGAATTGTAAAATTTAATCAACTACAACTTGCTTATGGCGATGTCAGTAGAAAACAAACATAAAATACAAGAAAAGAATACATTAAAAAGAAACAAACTTGTAGTTTGTCTGTCGGAAAAGTTATAAAAAACAAAAACCGTTATAATTGTTTTGCTTCTCATTTATATCGACCATGTACTAAGAAATATCATGCTACCTACCATGCAAATACATGAAAAATCAAAGGATTTAATGCACCACTAAGGAATTTTTTACGAAATGATCATCGCTTTCTGCAAAAATCTCGAATAAACCCTGTCTTTGCCATCGTTCAACTGCGTTTTTTTTTTCCTGTTTAAACTTTAGGTCTTTACGAGCTGTGGAAAACGGGAAGATACAAAAGTTACCCTCCTGATGTTCTGATCGACCTGGTTGCTAGAATACTAGCCCTAGTACCACCTTGGACAAGAATTTACAGAGTTCAAAGGTAAATTTCCCATGCAAATTGTTTTCCACATCATTCCTGTCCGCCGCGGCGCGAATTATTTGGCAGCTAGTAACTTGTCCGAACTGATCCAACAGTATACACTGTCACTGTCTAACAAAGTTTTGTGCTGTTTCGGTCGTGAATTTATTGGCGTCATTGCGAGCCAAATTTTATTGTTTTAGTCTGGAATGGTCCAACAAAGTATCAGAAAACTTCCGTGCAGCAAATCTTTGAGCTATATACTTTATAAATGTAATTTTTCTATACACTTAGTGTATCACTTTCATGGTTACTGTTAACTCTTATGGTATATTGATTCACATGATTCACATTTATCTATGTTGAAAATATTCAAATATTTCATAAACATGACATGACATGACTGCCGAACAAACTAGTTCGATCTCTGATAGACTGATACGGTCCTTAGGATAGTGTGATGTAAGGCATTATGGGTAGTACAATACGTAGCTACCGCAGGTTATATCCATTCCCTTGGTGATACCAACGTCTGCTCTCAATTTTTGACCAGGGATATTCCGATGCCGTTGGTCACATCAGGTGTTGAACACGGTAATCTTAGAGAACTGGCACTGGCGAGAATGAAAGATCTTGGAACCACGGTGAGAGTTCTACTGCATGTAGTTTGACCCCAAGCACTGTCTGTATATAGGAGCTAGCGACTACCACACTAGGGTATGACTTCATTCATACAACGTTCCTTTTCTCATGTCCTAACTAATCAACGTCGAGCCCTCAGAACTTGTGTTGATTACCTTGGATTAATTACCTTTGAAGATCGTATAAACATAGTAAGATAAAATGGCAGAGAATGTATACCTTCACAAAACGATTGTCTTATTTTAGATAAAGGATTTTTAAGGCGGCTAACTAAGGCATATTGAAGAAATTGACCAACTTTCCAGTGTGACTTCTAAGCGTGTTGTCAATGGCAATATTTTCATCACATTCTATCAATATGTATGCATGAGAAAGGACTGCATGTTCTATGGATGTTATTATGTGTAGAATTTTGTAGGGCCCGCAGAGGGTCTGTTATCAGGCTAGCTAAGAGCATATGATATAAAAAGCACCAACGTACGTCTATTTTCTGACACCTCAGTACGTTTTTTTATTCGAATGCGAATTTTGCCTAAAATGTTTTTTGCCGCGAATCTTCCCTAAAATGTTTTTTGAAATAATTTAGTTGTTAAGTTAATCTTGGTAATATAATTTTACTGTAATGTTGTTGCTCTATGTTTAGTGTCGAGATGTGAGAACAAGAGAAGTTGGAATCCAGGAAATTCATAACAAGGTTAAGCCTTACGAGGTATGTTGTGATATCTTGTACTTCTTGGGCCGGTTGTTTGTACGGTATTTTGTTTAAACGGTGAATAAGCCAAAGTACTCTCACATTTCTTGTAAATGAATGAACCATCATTATGTACTTCCATTGACAATTAAACTATTTACATCTAAATATTTCAGCTCAGTTGTTCAATAAATAAATAATTTTGTTTTCCATTTTGAACTTATCCACCGTTTAAGCTAAAAGCCTTTCGAACAACCGGCCACAGAATACAAAATCAAATAGCATGTGTTATAAAGAAAAATGTGGTGAAACCATATTTGAGCAGCTACCGAATTATGCAATTCGAAACAACATATAAAGTTACAGCAAGAATTAACCAATTATATTAAGAAAGTTCCACGTAATACAACTCCTAATGATTTTTTTCGTATAGGTTGAGTTAATTCGTCGTGATTATGTCGCTAATGGCGGTTGGGAGACTTTTCTTTCATATGAAGATCCTGCACAAGATATCCTTTTTTACATCACTTCATATTTTTGCATTATATTTCGTTCAATATTAATTGCAAACAATTTCGTCCTAACATCATGTTGGTATATACAATATTTTGCAGATATTGTAGTGTTTTAAGACAACAAAAAGTGTTGAAAACCAAAGCTCTTGCCATATTTTTTAAACAAATTTAAGATGGTGTATTGATTTGCTTTCACTAAAATTTGCAAAAATTTTATGAGTTCGAGTGATAGTAAACATTAACACATCATCTTTGATACTCAGACACTAACTGCGGGTGCTTGTAATTGTAAGAATATTGTCCTGGTCGACAGGGCTGTCGTTTTCAAGAAAGAAGATAATCTTAAACTTGCGGGATTAGGTAGACTATCCTCGGACAACTAAGTTTAACTAACTTTATTCATTCCATACTATCATCACATTGTGTTGCTTAACCGCTCTAAGATATCTTAATAGGCCTCCTTCGTCTTCGCAAATGCGCCAAAGATACTTATCGTCCCGAACTGTCGGGGAAATGCTCCATTGTTCGAGAGCTACACGTGTATCCTTTTTCGTTCCAATTGGCCTATCATGCGTTTGGGCCAATGAACAGTTAACTATCCCATTTTCCTAGTCGACTCGAAACTGTACATGCTATGCAAAAAGAAAGTGATGTTTCCTTGGCTCGCTGTTTCCAGCCTGCGAAACGTGGCGGGAAACGGTGATTTTTGCCAGTTTGACTCTGTTTTGTGGCTAATAAGTACGGTCTCAGTCTAAATACCCCAATGTGGTCAAAATGTCTCAGGATATTGCCATTCAGTTGCCCATTGACTGTCTTTTTTATCATATTCATCAATATAACATTCAGTGAAAAATCTTAGAAGACCTGTACATTATAGCTTATGAGGCGCTAATAGTATAACATGGTTCGTCAATTTTATTGCTGGCACCTCCTTAACATAAAGTGTAGTTACGGCAGCGTTGTACCGGTTAGTTCACGTGATCCAACAAAGTTTCAACACCAGGTAACCCTCTCCCCGACTTTTCTTTTGCGGGTATTGCGGTATTGCGGACTATTTTGATATCGGATCCAATTAAACCTCTCCGCTAGTCGAAAACTTGAGGGAAAAGTTAAACCACTGATCCGATAATACACTGGATGCAACAACTATACCTACAAAAAGCGAAGCCGGGTTTAATGAACTCTCTGCTACTTTACGACTTTGTTTTCGATAGACATGATTTTTCGTCCAGCGTATAATTAGATCAGTCGATGGAACGCATAAATAGTTTATTTCAGTTACAATTGTTTTTTCGAAGGGTTTTGGTGTACTTCTAATGGAAGAGGCGGGGAGGATTGCAAAAGATGAACACGGCAGTGTGAAAATTGCTGTCATTTCAGGTAATTAATTATTGCAGAGGTATCCCCAATACACCTATCCCGCAATAAGAGCTAGGAAATTTTGTTTTAGACCAATCAGCAAGTTCGTTTACATTTTAGTAACCCAATCAGAAAGCATAAATTTTGATTACTTCAGGTAAAGAGGCACACTATTAACCATTTTACATGACGTATTAAAATTTTAGGCTTTCTGATTGGCTTAGCCTGAAAAATGTAAGGAAACCCGCCGATATGTTCGCACTCCCGTTATCATGTTTGCTGGGTTTCTGGCAAGTATCAAACGGATTTTACCCGAAAGTGTCATTTTTCACATTTGAATACATTTGTGAAACTAGTTAGGTGTCTTTACGAATTTCTAAACTATACTTTTTATAACCAGAAGTCGATTCAACTTAGTGTTTTTTAAACGCAGTCTAATGAAGTCCCTTGTTAGACGGAGAACTTTCATCTTTCATTTTTCCAGTCTTCAAAAAGTTGATACTGACAGATAGCAAACTCTTCCAATCTTCAATATATTTGACTTCTGGTCTAGCTCCTATATACATATCTCGTGCGAAAGCCAAAATGTTGTAAAATTTCAGGTGTTGGTACCCGTAATTACTATCGCAAGTTGGGATATGATCTGGAGGGACCTTATATGACAAAGATGATCAACTAAGGTATTTGTAATCTATAAACGGTAAAGTCTTTTCACCGGAACAGACAGTCAAATGATTGAGGTGCTGGAAATGTGGTATCGTCGTTCCCTTGGTGGTTGGCATTGAGGAAAAGTCAAGGAAACACTCTAAATGAACTAAAATCACCGTAGTGGTAACTAGTTTTTCTGCACCATGCTGGTAGCTATGTTTTCCTCTGAGATCAGCATGATGGTAACTAGTTTTCCTCTAAAATCATTCTGCTGTTAACCATTTTCTCTCTGAAATTACCATGTTGGTAACTACTCTTCTCTGAAATCACCATGTTGGTAAATGTGAATCACCATGATTCTTTAAATTGTATAGATTCCCTTAAATCTTTCATGTCTGCATGTGAGCTGGACAAGTTATATTTGCCGCATTGGCATAATAATAAGTAATAAGATACGTAACAAACTTTATAATATTCTAATGATTTCGTGGGTGATAATAAGATCACTGAAACGCTATCATACAGAGTGAGCTTTTATGTTCAAATTTACTGCACAGCGTGTGTGATTTGATTGAGCCAGAGGCAGTGAAGTGAAACAAATAAATATTGTTCCGTTAATGTGGAAGTTAAAACCAAAAATGTGTAATAAATACTTGTATACAAGAAGGGACTGTCATGTATATAATTACCTGCAAATTTGAACAAGGAAGACATCTTTTTTACACTCTCCCCGTAGATTCCTTATAAACCTTCACAAATACCCACATGAAGGTGATTCACATATCACAGCTTCTTCATATTTTCTGTTCGTTACGTGATAATTACGGATTATTCTTAGATGGTAATGAATAAAAATAGGTATGCAATGCATCCATGTGGGTAGCCTCCAAAGCATTGGCAAAGATTTTCAAGTTTTGTTCAATGCTAGTTTGCTAATTGGATACACTTATAACAAAGTAGACATAAGAATAATCAATGAAATACCATTTCTGCGATTAATTTATCTGAAAGTTTAGGCCAGTTTGCACCGATCAGGCTGACAAAATTTCGGCTCTGCCCAGTCTTTTTCGTAGATAAACAAACTCAGCGGGCAGACATTTATCATCGCTCATCGTTTTTTGCGTGTAGCATAGTGGTTAGCCCGCGAACAGGCTACCCACAAAGATGAGTTGTTGTGTATACTTAAACGTATAATTGTAAAAAACGGAAGCCGCGTAAAATAATCGATAAACAGTGCCGATAAAACATGGTTGAAAACACGGATCGACGGATAACAAGACGCCTGTTCTGGCGTTAACTCCGGCGCACGTGCCAGTCTTCAATATAGAGCTTCTGAACATAAACAATACAGTTCATATTCGCATTTAGATGCCTTGCGAACCTAAATGTTCGATCGCGAAATTCAGAAGCACATCGTACTTTAAAAAGTGTAGAAGTTAAATCGTTCAAGAATGTAAATAAACGGTATGATACATTCGCTTTGTCTTACACTTTGCCTTTGGAATTCGCGCTTATATAGTTATAGCGCCCATACACGACCACATCATCTTGTTAAACGGCGAAATAGCAGCGATATTACTAAAATAGGACCAGAATCTACACGTATTAAATATATTCTTACCCCAATTCAGTCTAAACTTAATCGAAAAGCATGAAAAGAACGGTTTATTTGTTCCTCTTGGAGGAATTGCCGTATCATGCGAGCGAAATCGAATCGCGCATCGGATAATTAGCCAAAGCTGTGCACCACAACTCTTGGGAGACAAGACTGGGACATAGATAAATACAATCACATACACATTTTAAATACTGGAATGTTTCGCGCCATTACAGACTTGCGACGACGAAAAATAATAAAAAAAAAAATAAAAAAAAAAAAGCAAAAACAAAACAAAACCGAGGCGAATTTTCAACTCCGTCGCTGACGCCGGAGTAAAAATTCGTTCGAGGCTTAGGTTGCGTTACTCATACTACAAAGTCAAAAAGGCCATACATTAACAAATGTGACATACCGAGTACCGTATTTATTCGATTTAGCGCCGCCCCCGAATGAGCGCCGCGTTTGCGATAATTTTTTCTTAAAGAGCGCCGCACTAATTATTCCCAAATTCGGCGCTTAATCGACGCACCATCAGAATTGTTGAAGACGCTACTGTTAAATCGGTCTTTAGAATTTTCGTAAGGCACAGGTCAGACCTGAAGGCAGAGATTCCAGTAATTTGTGCGAGGAGGTTTGTTGTCTGTAAAATGTCCAATGTCTTGTTACAATTCACAAATAATATTTTTTTAAAGAGCGCCGCCCTCGATTAAGCGCCGCATCTTAAGTTCTAAAAATTTAAAGAGCGCCGCGGCGCTCAAACTAGTAAATACGGTTACGTGCATAAATAAACTAAACGTGTTCTCGAATTACTGTGCATATACATTTCAAATGATCATTTGCAGAATTCCACGAATGCGTTTTGAATTTCGGTGAAAACTTTTAAAACAATAATTATTTATATATGACAAGACTCTTTGCCGGCGATTTGAACGCGTCTATACATAGATTTGAGATGATAGAATTTTACGAAACGGTTTTCAGCTTATTATTTCGAAGCGGCTTTATTCAAAGAAGCATATTTTAACGTATCCGCTAATCCGCCTATCCGGTATTCGTGTTTTCTACGATGCCATAGCTGCAAAGGAATTTCGTGCGAAACAAACAATCAAGTAATTCTGTAATCTGTTCATTCTCGCTTGGATCTCTTTGCTGTATTAAATCGTTTAGTGCCCATGACATGGCTTATGGATAGGACAATGGCCAACCGCGTGCGAGGTTTTGCAATGGCATATCAAAACAGAGGTGATGGCAAAGAAAGTTTTATTGCTAATCTGGCTAGATTGGAATTCAATATCTGCAAATACGCTAGGTCTCAGAACGCCGATGACAATATTGTCGACCTCTCGGAGGACATACAATCTATAAAGATTTGGGCTGAGGAGCAAAACGCCCATTCCCAGAAAAATTCACGAAATCAAAGAATCACTAATGTGGGAAATGCGATCGCAACCACCGTACGTTCTTTGGACAGCCTGAGCAGCGAAAAACCTTATGAAGTCATGAAAGGATGCCTTAGCATTACGACCTCTATTGCTTTCGTTGCTGGAGGCCCATATGGTGCTGCAGTCGAGGCTGTATCCCACGTGTTAGCCACGATCTTGTCAATTCATGCCCCGAAAAGACCCAATTTGGCGACAACCTTTGTGGAAAAGGTTTATGCAGAAATCTTGAAGCTTAATCAGAAGCTTAAAAGCGAGAAATTCAGCGGGTTGCAAGCGCGAGTACGATTAATGCTGATAAATCTGAGGAGTCTCGAGACACAAGGGGATTTGCCAGACGATAAAATCCTTTATGAGACTGACTTCCCCCAGTTTATTGGCGAGGTCGCTCATAACTTTTCACACGGTTTGAATCCTGATAGCAAAGACGAGGACGTTCACGACTGCCTCACCTCCATGGTTGCATATTGTCACGCAGTGACGTCCTTTCTTGTGCTGCTGTCAAATGTGCTGGTGACATTTCAAGCAATTGGTAACAACACTGAGTGCATCGTCAGGCTGCTGAACGATCAGATCAGGGACGCGTTTGAGAAGCTCGAATACTTGTCATATTTCAAGACGTACAGCTTGGCTATGTCTCCAAACGATAAAAGAAAATTATACCTAGCATTTCGTTTGCGAAACAACCACATTATATATGAGATCGTGGAGGAATTCAGACTCAGGGCTTGGGGATGACGAAGATGCCGCGATTCGATGAGATTAAAAAAGCTAAACAAAATGCTGAATTGCCCTGGAAACTTGAAGACATCACCCACCGTTATAATGTCATTGATTTGCCAAGACTGTTCTCTTACCGCTGTTACTTCCAGTTCATCAATCACACCAGTGTACCTGTCAAAGTAGTTTGTGATGGCAACGTAGGTTACCACGTTAACGCGTTAAAGTTTCGTACCGATGTAGAGCCATTTACATCATACGAACATCAAGCCACAAGGCTAATGGATTACACTTTTTCTACCGGCGGATACTTTATCATCTATTTGGATGGAGAAGTGAAATCTTTTGAAGACAAGTTCGAAAGCAGTAATCTCAGAGTGTTCTCGTTTTCACTATCCTTCCCAATTCTAGGTATCGCAAAGATTGCCATCTTAGACAAAACGAACGACCTGGATTCTGCAAGTGACAACGACTGCTGGAAACAAATGAATTCCGATCACTGCTCACCCATTAACTTTGATTATGGCGATAAACACTATATAGTGAATGGCGAAATCAAAGAGGGAAGAATTTGGCAGTTTATATTACAGGAAGACGATCCTTTACATACATTCATAAGTCTGTTGAAAATGTAACTCCATCCCAAGGACGTAGCCACGCCGGCCTTAAATTGGGGGCGGGGGAGGTTCGTGAATCCAGGCTGTATAGTGTTTATATGTATAAAACTGCGTCCCGTGGGCATCGATGTACGCATCCAATTATAATTTTGAAGTATATAGATGTGTGCAACATGTTCTGCTTGCGATTTTCCTGCCAGAGCTTAGCTGTTATATATACCCGGCTAGCTTCGATTTCGTTTGTTTTATATCCTGTTTATAATAAAGTTGCAATATAGTAACATATAATCTATAGTTGTAGAAGTTGAATTCATCACTTACTTTGCATGTCATTTCATTTTCATTATAATCCAGCCTTGTATCATTTATATAGATACGTTTTCATGAATGTAATGTTACTATATATCTTTTTTAATTATTACTGCAAATAATATTCTTTGTTTTGTTTCATATTACCCTTTAATAGCCATTATATAAAAACTAAACTAGGTGCTGTTTAAAAGCTTGTCTAGGATTTTAGTTCTTTCTAGCTATCCCTGGCAGTGACAGAACTTTTAAAAACTACAAAGATGGTTGCATTTTTCGATTGAATGGCAGTTGCTTTTGTATTTTTGAATGTTTCTATTCTGTCTAAAGCCTTGAAATTTCTGCATATGGAACAGCATTTTCATTTATTTTACTTTATACAAAATTCACTAAACTTCAGTTCACTTCTGATCACGTTTATCAATCTGACTAAATTTCCGCGGACGTCCAGGAAAAATTATTTTCTTTGATATTGGAGGAAATTACCCTAAATATTCAAGGTCCTTAGAGTGGAGAGGGCGCTTTATACGGCATGTACAGCATATATAAGGTGAGAAGACTGTCCCCCCTTATAGGAGTTAGGGCCGCATGCAGATTTCTCGAAAAGCCCCGACCCAAACCATCTTCCTTGCTTTCAATTTACTTGTTAATTTCTCTTCCTCATGAACGATTTATTTTTGCAAATATGACTTCTAGTACATCCCTTTGATAAGTATAGCGGTAAAATATGTTCAAATATACATACATCCGAGATTATCTGTTTTCGTCAACTATAGCATATATGGGAGAGTTTAGTGATATAAAAGATTGATCTGGTGTACAACAATGATTAATTAATATTTATTTAGCGAATCAAATTTCATAGCGTTCAGTAAACAAATGATGTGAAGAATGTTTCCTCATGTTATGACTGTTTCGTTAGTATATGAAAAGCAGCTTAATACACGAAACAACGTTTCTGTAACTTACAAATTGCGATTATCATTAAGGCCTATTAATTATTGCACGCGCACGTACGGTGATGTAGCCAGAGGGGTGACGAGGGGGCCCTCTGCCAACTTCCAGTTGATGCTTGGGGGGAAGTATGGCACCATCATGCCCTATTTGTTATGTATTGCACTTTTGTATTTGACCCCTCACTCTTGACGCCTCCGCCCCACTCATGTTGGTTGCACGGCTACGCCACTACCATGCCATTTCTCCAACATTTCTGTACAACCATGACTCTCCAAGAAAATTATTTCATTTAGTGACTAGGAGTACGACTTCGAGATACTACAATGCCTACACCATCTGACGAAAATCGTAGTCGTTGGGCTTTTCAATCAACAAATTCGTACTCAAAGCTCGACTACTACGAGCTGATGGCGTAAGCAAACAACATGCTAGAATGACGAATCATGTACCCGTAGTCGTGTGTATATAAGCCCCGTTTACACTACACTGAATTTATCGGCACGGCACGGCTAAAATGGGCACCCGTGCCCAATTTTATTAGTGTTCAGGCTACCAAAACAAAGGCCGAGTACAGATGAAATGGGTACGGGTGCCCATTTTAGCCGTGCCGTGCCAATAAATTGAGTGTAGTGTAAACGGGGCTATAGTCACGGATATAGTCGTAACTCGTAGTCACGTACTGCTAAAGCTTAATTCCTTACTAAAAGTTAAGTTACTAAAACTGTATAAATTAAAGAGCGGATTTTGACCGCTCTCAAAACTTATAATGCAGCGTAAAGTGTATTCAAAAAGAAGCAAGAAGCCTCCTAAGTTCATTGACATTGATGCGGTAGTTTTAAAAAACTTCGTTGCCGTTGGTGAATTCGTGCACTGAATCGCCTATAATATAACTGGGTCTTTTACCAAATCTAAACTGCTAATGTGTGACAGTCACTACAATAAGGGCCAGCAATAATAGGGATGTAAAAGTACTGTACCCCATAATATTGTTTGTTGGTTTATATATATGCTTGAACTTTGTCCACAAACACCGGCCAACAGTTATTAGGGATGCGATACGCCGATACCGCGATACAACCGTAAGTTCCAACAGAATTTTTCTTGAAAGTCGACTGTTGACAGCTCCCATGCAGGAGTTGCCAACCACGATTTGATTGTGCACGTGTTCGTATATATTTCATATATTCTTCTAGTGTGCTTAATCATGCTTCCTCACGGAGGACCAATAACTTGTGCATCGTTCAGTTTGTCCTTTTTTATCCCAAACTGATCGAGTGCATCGCCAGATAGTCTGTCTTGATTCTTCCTCTTGTTCGGTCGTCGCAAAAATTCGTCGATTGCTTTGCGACAATCGCTCCATACCTTCTCTTCCATCATCTCAGTGGTGGGAAATAACTCGAACACGTATTTTCTGATCTTCGCCACGCGTTCTGGGTCGAGTTTGTCTTTGTTTCTAGTTCCTGAAAGGCACGGACAGAACGTGAAGGGAACAGCTATAGACATTGTGGGAAAGTAATTGTGCAGGGTACCTACATCACTCGTACTATATTAATCCCGAATTGTACTCGCTTGTACTTGAAGTTTACGTAAACTTAGTACACCTAAACATACCTGAAACGTTTTTCGCCGCTAGCTCGTGCGGTTTGAACATCTCACGTACGAGGTGCACGGCAAAGTTACCAACCGACTGGCTTCGTGCTTTTAAACGGACCAAAGTAACTTCGTTCACCTCCCCCGGTTTAGTTTGCTGATGCAGGAGCTGCTCTGGGGACATGCTTCCAGTGGTGAGGTATATGGCCTGGGGGGAATGGTAGAGGTCGGGACCAGCCTGAGGAGGGGTACCAAACCCCGGCTGCTCTTCATCACCGGAGGCCCGAGGCTCGCCATCCACACCACCTTCCTGGGCAAGCACGGCGGTGGTTGTGACACCGTTGAGGGTTTGGGACATCGTCGAAGCAGAAATCAAGCCGACATGTTCGGCAGCTTGCACCAATGCCAGGGTGCCGTCCATTCCGATGGTTCGTTTGCCGGATCGGGGGGAGCCCATGGTTCGAGCACCGTGCATGTTACTCTTGATGTTCGTGGTTACTTTCTCCGACATTCGACCGTCACCCTCGCTGATGCCAGCCACGAGCAAGTTGTTCAAAATTTCTACCTATTCAACGAATTATAGCCATATTTAAAAAATGTTGACAGAAAAATAGAAAATCTGTTTGGACTTTCACTACTTCATTTTGCTAGTAATACGTAATACCGCTTATAATTTGTAAATCTATTTTACCTTTTGTATGATTGCTTGTTGGTTTCTCAGTAGAGAATTTTGGTTAATTGTGATTGTGTTTTGATTGGTGACAATCTGCTTCAAAAGGTTCTCCATGTGAAACAAACTGTGCTGATTGATGCCCGCCTGAGCGCCCTCCTCTTGCATCCGTTTCACCACGTTAGCGATAAGCCGTGAGATCTCCATATGCGACATGATGTTGATGGCCAAATCCGAGCCTTGCGGTTGGCGCCCGACTTCCTGGACCTCGTCAGCGGTTGCCGTCTCGTCCAAGGCCTCCGCCGCGTGTTCCAGTCCCTCTGGCGGGCACTCGTTCGCGGTTCCATGCTCGATTTCGGTCTCAGTGACAAGTCTTGTGACCTCCATTACTGCCTGTTTTTCCTCGGCTTGGTCCAAAGTGTGGACGCTCTGCTCTTCTGTGATCAGCGTTTCCGTTTGCTCTGCATGGGGCTCGACCATTTTGTGAAACTTTCAGAGCTGAAAACAAAGAACTTGGATATTTCAATTCAAGGTATGCAAAGCCAAGCCCAAGGTCACCTAATAGGGGAGGGGTGGTGGGGGTTGGTGGACAACTAACTTGTTATGCCAAAGATACCAAAACTTATTTTTTGCAAAACATGACACAAGCGATTTGAACCTTACATATTATACTGATTACTGAGGTTTAATTTTTTTTCTGAAAGGCTTTACTTTTTCTTGCACTTGAATTGCCAAATCTCGATCTTTATAAATATAATAACTGGTAATTGCTCAGAGTAGTATGTGTTACTTGATTTGTAAAATTTTCATGACATTTGTATTATTCTCAATAATTTCACTAAAAGTGTCAAAAACACTTGAAAAAATCAATTGTGTTTATTCCTACAAATATTATGTGATTATTTAAATTTGAATACCTAATTTATTATTATTATCTATAAAATTATCTATGGGAATTATTTGCATCAGAATTAAGATATTGGCTATTAAGAATTATAAATTTCAAAATATGTGGCCTATTGGAGTATACCCACAAATTTATGAGAAATGTTCACATGAAATTTTTTTGCCATTTCATGGCAACATACACAAACAGGAGCTGGGATTAGCTTGTTATGAAGAAGTGAGTAGTTGAAAAAATTTCCTTTTATCAAAATGGCAACACTTTGCAAATCATTGGGATTTAGATAACAGATCAAAGCCTTGCAGTAAGGACCTCTACTAGCTTCAAAAATAGCTTCTAGCCACTATGTAGCCCTGCATGACTGTGCATATAGCATCTGCTGATATATAGAAATGTCTGGAATCTACATATAAATAAATAAAAAGGCAAATCTGGATGTATTTTCAGGTAATTAAATACGATTATAGGTCGGAAAAGAAAGCCATTCCTGTTCCCTTATTAGGAATATGTAAATATTGAGAACATTTTCAAGTCTTTTAAGCACATGAAAGTTTGCAGGAAGGATAAGATCTTATTATTTCGACTTGTGACTATTTTTCTTCAAAATAGCACGCTATTATGGAACATCGTTCGACACAAGTCAGACTGCAGATTTTCAGCTTCTCTATCACCGATGTTTCAAAAATCGCCCTCAAATTCCTCGAGCCGGTTGGAGCATTTTGAGAGACATCAAAACATATACATAGCAACTATTTATAATAAAATACAATTTGAATAAATCGTGTGCTTAAACCCTAGTGAACGGCCGGCGCGGGTGAACGATGAATTCACCAAATAAATCGACTCGCGTTTCAAACCATTTACAGTACAATTTGGAATATTTCTCGTTTGTTTACGTCGCGAAAAGTTCGGGAGTGTGAAAGCCCACGACACGAGCGATCATCACAAGCTTGTCGCGTACACGATTCGCGAATTTCACGCTAAAAACACAAAATAAAAGCTTTCCCTTTCCCTAAAACAATTCCAATGCGGACTGACGTACCTTTTTATGTTTTTGTGCGTTTTGATTGCTTGATTTTTACCAAAGAATACTAAAATTCGCCCTCGTGAAATTCCTCGCAGGGCGTTGAACGTGGCAAAATGGCCGCTTGGAAAAACGAAACAATATTTTCGTGTCATAAGTAATTTCCGTGTCAGAGTATTTTCCGGGGGGTGTTTAAGTAGGATACGCGAACTAAAAATGACTAAAAATGTATATTTTTTTGTAGTATATTTGCGTAGAAACGAGCATCGTGAATGAAGGAAGCTGCATCGCGATTATTCATTGTATTAAAATGGTTTTTGGAGTGTCTTAAAGAAAATCAAGGAAACATTTCTGACAAAGAATACGGATATGATGTCTTTGTTTACCCCCCGTGCTTCTTTGCTTCCTTTCCTTTAGTTCTCAGTCTCTCGTGTAAAAAAACGTGGATGGCCAACATGGAGAAAGTGGAAGAAATTTATAAGTGACTGTTTTTATGGGAAATGGCTTCTGTGCAGTCAGCGACCGAGATTACAAAGCCAGGTGCCATTTCTACGGACTCTGGTGAAGAGAGTGACGATGCATACGACGATGTGATCGAAGTCAGCCCGTGTGGGCGATGGGAAAAGCGAAGAATTGAGGTGGAGAAGAAAGCTTGTTTTCAATGTTTTGATTCACTCTAGGCATTTATAGAATATAATATGAAACTTTATATAAAAGTGTCATAATCATAGGCTAGTTAGTTACACAGCACTAAGGTTGTATGTACGAATACCAGAAGTGTACTTTTATATAATCGTACTTCATTGTTATTCACAAAATATTGTCTTTCTGGTGTCAATCCTCCCCATTTCGACAAGTACGAGCAGATACAAAACCTAACTGGAAAGTTTACAAATTTCCTGCCATTTTCAGTGCTGGATATATTGGTTGTACAATACATACTTGGTTATACAAAGTGCTGGTGGTAATGTGTAGGGTAGTGTTGAACTCAATGACTTGAGTAAAAATCAGGTCTATTTTAATAGCATGAACACCTTTGACATCAAAGACAACATGGTTTTGCATATGAGATATCACAGTCAGTTCATTTCGCATTGACACTGTCACAGATGTCTGTCTGCTCAATCACTGTGTTGGTTAAGATGGATGTCGTTGGCATGAATTTTCAAAATCCCTCTAATGTATTTTATTCATTCTTTATTTATTGAATAACATAATTCAAGGTCATAATTCAATGGGACATGAAATGTTCATTCACCCTTATGTGAACAAGTGATTCTTAGCTTTGGTATTGAGAATAACACTAAAATTTCTGCACAGGTAACACAACGTGATGTGCCTGGCATTGACAAGGCATTCCTTGCCATGGATACAGAGGAGGGTGTCGAAGTGGTTTGGAATGAGGTTCAGTTCTCTCAAAGAAAAAGCTACAAAGCACAGGAGGTGGGCATCAAACAGTCATCTCAGTTTTTTAGCCTGTAAATGAAATGGCTCTCATTAAATCAACTTCTTATTTGGGATGAGGTAGCTTACTGTCCTGTATGTCATCTGCTCTGAAATGCCATAGAATATTAGAGAAATGTTCAATACAGAATCATGGTATTTATTGGTTTGTATTGGTCCTACATTGTGGGAGTCATAGCTAGCAGTACTATTATTTTGCTCCCTTAATGAAACATCTTTCGTACATGATGTGTCTGCATGCATTTCCACTCTCCCATTTCTGAATTTCAGATTTACCCAACTGTGGCATTTTCTAGTCATTACCATTACTACTGCCACAGTACCATTTTCACAGATGATCTATTTTTAATTTTAGGCAACCATCAAAACAATATTTCAAAATTTAACCAAGTTGAAGGTAATATATTATTTCTACACTATTATAATGTCTGCGGCGCAGGCTATTATAATGTCAAACCACCGTCATTAGATGCTTGAAAACAGATACCTGCTGACAATTTCAAAAAATTTTTAATAAAAGCATAGTCTTATACATCAGCTATAATTAAATTGCATAATTACAAAGGAATTTTTAGGCTATATTGTCGGCATTGTGATCAGATCGTCTCTTGGCAACACATTTGTTTTTCATAAAACCAATCAATCAAACAGCCAATCAGTTACATTTTTATATATCAAGAAGTTGTCAGAGTAAAAGTGTCTAAACCACTTTTCCAAATATAAGTAGATGCAGGTGTTGCTTAACTTTATCTACTTGGGTCATTTTTTTTTAAATATTGGTGCTGTTTTTTATTCATTAGCACCCAAACATCGTGAAATTTCACAGGTTTTGGAATGACATGCAGGGTGACAAGGCTCGTCTTGTCTTCATTTCGGAATATATGACGGCTGGATCATTGAAAAAATTCCTCAAGAAGACACGCGCTAATAACAAGACTATCAGTCCTAAGGTAAAATTTCAGCTATTTTCCAACAAACTTCAGCACCAGCACCCCAGAAACACTGGCAGAGAGGTTGGGACAGGGGGAGGTTTGATCGCGTGAGCCAACAGTGTGCCCTGGTGATAATTCGATGTCTAAAATCAACGGATATCGTCTTTAATTGAATCCTCTGAAGGCTAGTTTCCACTCAGGAAAATTCTCCTTTGGATCGAACAGGACAGGAAAGTTTCCTTTGTATAAACGCCGCCTGAGAACTCACCGACAAAGGAAATTTTCCTGTCCGTTCCGATCCAAAGGATTTAACCTTAGCATAAAATTATAAAAAATACACTGACATGACCATGTTCGGAAAAAATTACTAGTTCACATGCGATGTTCCAAAATCAATTATGGTCACATTTGAAAAGCGTGCGAAACACCAAACTCGTACCCAGGGCATCGATATCGCCAATGTGGAGCAAAATACCCTGGGTACGAGGTTGTCGAAACACGCGATTTTGAACTGAGAACACTGTTCTTTATTCAATAGGTTGTTAGAAAGTGGTGCCGTCAGATTCTTTCGGCTCTAAGGTTGGTTCATGAGAGATATCATCCGTTTATGAAGGCTTGTTTTTTTATTGAAGATAAAGAGTTATATAAATGTAAAAACTGTTTCATGCCAATTTTTCCCTAGTTACCTGCACGCCTGCAACCCACCTATTGTCCATGGCAATCTATCCTGTGATACGATCTTCATTCAACACAATGGTCTGATTAAAATCGGTTCAGGTAAAAAAAAAGCATTTTATTTCGTTAATGCACTTACATATATTGTGTATACATATCATTTTTACTTGAATTCAGTCTGTTCATTGCATGTCTAAGCCTTAAAAGTGGGATGGGAACGCGTTGGGAATAACTAGGGCAATTTGGCTCGTTATTTGCGCTAGGGCAGTAGTTGTAGGGGTAGGGATCAATAGATGAGCACAAGTATAACACCCCCTCCATTTCTGCTCGGTTTTCAACTTTTCACTGGAGTAGCTATGGAGACAAAAAGTTCAATTTGGCAGTTTACAGTTATACGGCATGTCTATGACAATCACCCGCGATAAAAGTTCTTTTTTAAGACGTTAAATCAATTGAAATTTCAGTTGCTCCTGACACAATTCGTGACCACGTGAAAACATATCACGAGGAAAGGCGAAATATGCATTACCTAGCACCGGAATATGGTAAGGAACACTGCATCTTGTACACCTTCATAAAAAGGTTGTGTTTTGACGTAGTTTATGGATAGGGCATGTTCCTGATTGGTTACTGGCAGCATCTCCTCATGGCATGTGTCCATGGCAACGTGATAACGCGTCATATCTGACGCAATGATTTTTGAACCATTCTTGGGAGTTTTTTCACCCTAGAGTATATGCATATTTCTACATTTCAATTACATTTTCTGTTACCAATGGTCGTTTGCCCAGTAGTGTGTGCTTTTAGCTTTGTGTTCTTGCTTCTCTAGGCCTTCCTGGGACCAGCAGGCAATATCACACAGCTGTTGATGTTTTTGCTTTCGGTATTTGTACACTTGAGGTAAACCCAGTGCTTCCACAAGGTGAATTAATTTTTTCGCAAACCCATAATATCCGGATTTTTGACATAAATTTGTGTAACACGTGTCCTTTCAAAAAAAGTGAGAAAACTGATATACAGAACTTTTATGCGTCGGGTTTTCGACCATTTAAACAACGACAGTTGCGACACACTTCAAAATGTACGTTTTTTGCGCATAGGTGTTGGCAGGAAATCTCGTTAGCAAACCCCGCGGGGCAATATTAATTTCTGAACTCAATCAAAAGAAGAATTACCTTTACAGTTGCAAAGCCGTCCTCTTAAGCCCTGCTTCGACAAGCGAAATTTTCAAGCGAAATGCGAAATATTTCGCCTTTTCGTTTTGAATTGTGAGCAATCAAGCAGAATTAATATATTCAAGTGGTCATAATTCAAAAGAAACAAAATATTTCGCATTTTGCCAAGAAAAAGCGCCTGCCGAATCGGGCCCTTCAATACGTGTCTTTGAGATTAAGTCGGGCCCGACATCTTTCATTCCAGATGGCTGCATTAGAGTTGCAAGATAAAGAAAGTCACATCGGTTCTGAAGCGGTGAAAAAAGCAATCGATGGCCTCACAGACGATGATTTTAAGGTACTTTTACGTTAAGTTACGAAAGCCGATTTTTTACCAAATGTATAATGCCCATTCCATAATCATTATCCAGTATTGACATACACGCAGATAATAATACAGACTTTATTTTATCGCCAGCCTCAACAACTCGTGTCTCAACAGCTATTGCAAGTTGACAGGGCTTGACAAGAGGCCACAATATAAACGAAAAAGCTATATAAAGTTTTCTCTAAAATAACGTATAGAAAAGGCGTAATAACACGAGATGGCGTGAGCGATAGCGTGAGCGATAGCGTGAGCGATAGCGTGAGCGATAGCGTGAGCGATAGCGTGAGCGATAGCGTGAGCGATAGCGTGAGCGATAGCGTGAGCGATAGCGTGAGCGTTTGCGTGAGTTGTAGCGTGAGTGTTAGCGTGAGGGATAGCGTGAGTGATAGCGTGAGCAATAGGGTGAGGGATAGCGTGAGCGATAGCGTGAGCGATAGCGTGAGCGATAGCGTGAGCGTTAGCGTGAGCAATAGCGTGAGGGATAGCGTGAGCGATGGCGTGAGATTATGTCGGAATTTTTCGCATTCTTTCAAAAATGTTCGTGCGAGTAGGAATGGCCATTCCCATTTAAAAAATTGTTATAACTATATCGAGCTATCTTAAGTAATTTGCACAAAGATTGAAAAATCGTATTATCTTATAGGATTTCATCGGGAAGTGTCTCATTGAAGATCCTGTCTTGCGTCCGAGTGTGATGAAACTTATGTTTCATAAGTGGTTGTTTGAGGTATGTCCTGGAAAGAAATGGAACTACGATTTTCTCGTATACAGGATTTATATGTAGATTTATGTATAGAGTTTGATGGTACATCACCATGTGAAGGTAGACCTATCCTATAAACCACAGGGAAAAACACATTAAGAAATTTTTCCCGATATTTTTTCAAGGTTCCCTCATTGAAACTTCTGTCAGCTTATGCAGTCGTGGATACCGGCGGTATGTTGTAAATTTAATAAACCAATTGCATAACTGATTGGCGAGGAGTGAAATCTATCAAATATACTTTTAAACAGCAACCCAAAATTTGTAAGTAAACTTCAAAAGTTTGGTTGCAAAGTATTCCAAATTGTATTGATGTTGTATTTTCTTTAGTTACTCTTCCCGAGTCGAAGGAAGTGAAAGATCGAGAGAGAATTCTAGTAGACATCCCAGCCCTTGGGGGAAATTTAGTTCGACGGTGAGGAGTATTACACTGAAGTCCCCCACCACCCCAGGCTCTTTCTTGATTATTATATGAGGATCCGAAATCTCTCCCTAATAATAACCCTGACTGACTAACAATAACCCTGATTTTGCAAGCCTTACCAACTAATCTGTCATAGGCTAAGTGCTGTTTCCATCATAGAATAAACCCGATTTTAAAAAAGCTAGGAGTCAGTCTTAATACGCCCCCAGTGGTAACAATCCCCTATTTATTACATTGCGTACGTGCATAGCAGCCATGTTGCACTTGCATCACAATATTATGTGGTCGCATCAGACACCCGCCTTCATTGCTCTTCGTATGCACGATGCACTACGATTCCAATACAAAACCGTCTCTGACCTCAAGTATCGCTCAACTTTTCGAGCACTGAACTGCACCACACAAGAGTTCGCAAATTCAATTTCCCTGAACCATTGTGAAGCTGTTTTTTTTATTTTGTAGTTAAATAACATGACAACGTTCTAAAAGCATTAATAAGTCAGTGTATATCATATCGCGTGGGTTTTATTTTTTAGTGAGAAGGATCTACCATCATTGGAGAGGGAGAAATACCTTGAGGAAGTCCAGTAAGTTCATGTTGATTGGTTTTGTCAAGATGTGCTTTGCTAATGACCACATTCATCTTTGGTCTTTGCAGAGATGGTCTGTATCCTCTGACCATAATGGAACGCAGACAAAGTCATGCGAACATTCAAAGGTACACGGATGCTTCTACTAGGATTGCAAAAAATAAAAGATCTACTCGCGATGAAATTGTGTTGTTTTGTGGTGTATATTCTATATATTTATAAAACATCATTTATAATTTGCATATCAATTTCACATTAGTCTGACACTAATGGCCGCCCTAACCATTGAGCTGGTGAGAATCCTTTGATAATTTGCTACCTATAGTACGATCATTCTTCATCTAGACCTCTAACCCCGGAGGAGGGAGAGACAGAGGAGAATTCAAGTCCTCCCCCGGATGATGTCGAGACGAGACTGGTGAGTTTCACTGTGCTGAATTTGAGCAAGGGTGTGGGCGAATTATGTAATCGAGTGCTTGTGAAAAACGCGACCGCTTTTGGCTAAAGCGTGGAATAATTTTTAACAGGTGTTGAATATGAATTGCAAGACTAAAGTTTCCGAACATCCTGGAAAGCGAATGGTAAGAGAAATCCTTGAAACACTACGTATCTTATAAGATTAATAAACCTGAGTATTGGGCTTTCCGCGTTTGACGTCATTATGAGTAAGGTCTATTAATGGCAATGAAATTTGTATTAACTTAGAAAAACCTTTTCTAGCAGACATTTTGCGAAATGTAATATAAAACATACTGTACTCCGAATGTAAACATTTAAAACTATAAACTCAAGATATGAGGTGTTGATAAACAGGACACAATATTCAGGTGATATTTCGATTCTAAGTCATTGTCAAATCTGACTATTTAATAACATGCTACGATCTTTTACTCTAAATTATTACTTTCACGTTAAAGTTAATACTTCACCTTCAAATGGATGATCAGATGAACAGATTGCTGACGTGTGATTTAGAATCAGGTAACTACTATTAGGCATTATCGTATAAATCGACTTTCTGCAATTGATATGATAGTAGAACATGCGTGGATGAGTAATCACTATTTTGCTTTTCTATTTATAGAAGATAAAGCTGGCGAATTAGCGGAAGATTTGGTCAAACACGGATTTATCAATCCAGTAAGAACTTGCTAATCGTAACTGCAAAAAAATTATCATAACATTAGTTGATATTCATTAAGAACGATCACTCGGTCGCCATCTTTAAAGCCGAATCGGGGACCAGTGCCAGTCCGTTTCCAGTAGTGAGGTTAAGATACCCCGGTTTCGGTATACGTGTCTGGGTTGCCATATTTTATTCATTGGAATTGCACGTTTCATCGTACAAATCACTCTTGCCTCAAGAGACTAAAGTCTACTGGAAAAGAATTCTCAAGGTAATCTTCGAAAAATTTGAGAAACGCTGGTGGAAATTCAGTCAACAAAATAAGGCTACCCGTATACCGGAATCGGGGTATCTTAACCTCTCTATTGTCTTTGTCTTCACGGTCGACTATCGCGCCTACAAAAACAATGGAAAGGGATTGACACGGGTTCCTAATTGGCTTCAAAGATGGCGACTATACATGAACATGAGTTACAGTTCATCTTGTTAATGAAATAACTATTTTGATCAATTCTCCCAATATTTTTTTTTATATTTCAAAAGGCTGATAAGGAGAGGATCTCAACATTAATACAAACAAACTTGAAACGGTAGGACTTCAGTTAATAACAATTTTCATAAGGGTTAATTTTGACACGAACCTGAACAAGAACAACATATTATCTTGTTCTACATCCGAAATGGCCTATCGTATGTCCGCCCATGACCCAATCGTACGAAAACTATAGATAGGGCTATCCCCGGGGGACGGGTACCGCTGTATAGAATTCGCAATTGAGTATAATAAAGTGTAAACAAGATTATACCGAAAAATGGGCAATTTTAAAAATCACTATTCGCTAGATAGCGCTATCCAGCTTTTGTATATGCGCCCAGGACTTTGTTTACCTGCGTCAATAAAACTGTAGCTTACAAATCAAACTGTGTATATCTCACTATATGACGTTTGCTCTTTGTATAGCGAGGTAGCCGTGGCTTGAGATGAAGCTCGCAGGTGAAAACGTTTATGAAAAAAGACGCTGGTTTGATCCGCTCTTTGTAATTTCCTGTACATATAATAAGATTGAGAAATATTATAAGATTATGGACCGTTCTGGTATTCCTCCCGATGAAAGCGGAGCCAAACTTTGAACATTGGAGCGAAACAATAACGCGAAAAAGAAGTCTAAATATATGTGGGTTATATATATATATTGCAAATATCACATTTCACGCTAGTGACCTTTTCCACGTTGAATTCAGAAATATCGGAATGATTTTCAAAGTATCCTTGTGGAATAAAATCAGAAAACTCTAAGTTAATTTCAGATACTGCAGATGTCATTCTGATAGTTTGCAATTAATCGCAGATAAAATTATATGAGTTTCAGGATGTTAAAATCAAGCGAATTTAACGTTTGATGATAAACTTTGATTACAGAAATACTGATAATAACTTTCAGCCTGCCACATAGCGTCTAGCCTGTGGTGTGCCTTTGAAACTCGAAGCCCCCGCCCCTTCCGTAAATTTTGCGATGCGTCTTTTTCCAATCATGTATCCCACCCAAGGGTCCTGTTGTTTTTATAAGAGAAAGAAGCATCACGTATCATTGCTGAAATTCGGCATGAACAAACATTTCTTGCATAAAACACAGTGAATACTTGTCTTTGAGTTCACTGAAGAAAACAATAGATGCAGTAAGTTTTATAAAATTTGTTAGTGAGATTTTGCTGAATTACGTCCCATTAATGTGTTCCTGTTTCTGTTGTAAGAGAGACAAGTGTAACATATGTTTAAATGATGATCCAAATTAGCGTAAATTAAGTGTAAAATTCGTAATGGTTGATTTTGAGTTAGAGTGGTCTGCATACCTCTGCAGGACAAAGCTTCACTGATTGCTCTGAAATCTCCTACGTCACAAGAGTTAGTCTGATGACAAGGTAGAATTGAAAATTAAACGAGACTTGCCTGGAGTTGAAGTTTATTGATTTGGCCGGGAGCATGAGAGTTGTATGCTCCCCCCAGTACTCTCCCATTCCCTTACCTCATCCGCGCGTATTTTTCCCGTAGAGATTATAAATAGGGACCTTAAGCATGTAGGACGGGAACACGACGACGAGAGCTATCAATACAATGCTTCATTGAAAAGAAATGAATTATTAAATACCTATGGGAGTTTTAGACGTGATCTACGTTCTGTTTACAACGGCAAAACGTCGTTTATTGCGTCCTATGTAGGACGTCTGCATTTCAAGACCCAGTGAGCGTTACCTCGAATTAGGCTTTATAGAGTTGTCCCTAAACATAAACACAGTGTTCTCAACGTCTTACATCTCATTAAACTGGTACAGTTGATAATATAGAAGAACACTTTATCATAACATGAATTTAAAGAAGTATTCCAAATGGAATTTGGACGAGAAAGTTTGTCCTAGCACTTTATCCAGTAAGTATACCAAAAAACATTGTTCAGTACAGGCAAGCAATCTTGTTAATATTTTTATGGGGTTGTGCATGGGTAAAATAGTAATATCACGTAGTGAAAATTAGCCGATATTTTTTATAATGTTAGTTTCTGTATTCAGGATTTGTCAGATGGTCGTGTCGTGAATATTTTCCATCATACGAAGTGGCCGGCGTATACCGCCTGACGGAAATGGCGTCATCGCCCTGACGTCATTGGTCGAGAATTATTGAAAGGATTCATCGTCATGAGCCAATCATAGTCGCATGCAGGTAGATCGATTGAAAAATAACATGACAAAATTACAGTCGTAAGTTTTAATTCCTGGATTGATTCCTGGTCCTGAATTTCTCACAATAGTCGAAAGCTCTTGTGACGGTCTGTGTCTCCTTGCCTCAGTGCTGTGGACGTTTTTTTCCACAAGATTAATTGACATTTGTTTTACAACGATGAGGCAGGACGAACAGGCACGTATATCGCCATTTCAAACCTTCTGGAAAGAATGAAGATTGAACAAGCAATGGACGTCTTCCAGGCGATTAAAATCATCATTGCATAAAATCATTGCGGTTAAAAATGGATATATTTCTCGCGCGTGTGAACACGTCGGTGTTTCGACAAAAACATTTTTCACCACTCTCTGCTTCATGCACAATTGCAGCAGTTACACAAATTACATTCATACCTTAAAACAACATCCCTGAATATTGGACAGTATTTTTAGATCTATTTGACATTGTTTGCTCACTTACGACTAATCATTTTCTTTATAGGATCAATACAAGTTCTGTTACACGGCCATCATGGCGTACTTGGATTCCTTCAGTGAATACGCGAACTTTGGCGAATAAAGAATATACGATGAATTTTGTTTCATGCAGTATTAACTATTAATAATAAAAATAATTTGGTTTAATACGCTTAAAGCTAAGACCAATCTTACACATTCAACCCAGACTGTAAATAGTTCTAAAAGCGCCGTTTATAGAAAATGCGGTCCGTCTGTAAGAGACCCATATATAGAAGCACATGCATGATGCATGTGTAGCATGATGCATGTGTAAAAACGGGTACAGCTATGGGTTGTTTCGAAGGCCACTTTCGTTAAATTGGCGGTTCACTCCTTGGTATTTGAAAAGCCGTTTTGTCGTTTAAACTAGCCCGATTGCTTCTAAATTTAGATTTGCGTATACCTGCGACTCATATTGTTTCGTAAGAAACGATTGATGTGACTTTCGTTTAGAAAAGGGGCTAAAATCGGCACGATTTCTTTCGGAAAAAATATCGCTCCTACGCTTAACGCCATGACAAGTGACACATTGTGACAACTAAAATGAAATTCGATGATCAACTACCGTCATGCTTAGGGCGCGTGCTGTTAAAAGAGAAAGGTTATTTATTAATTTATTATAGCTCAGTGGGAAAGGTCTATTGATAATTGAATATTGATATTGATAATTGATATTAAATAACGAAGCGAAGATGTTGCATGTATCCAGAGGTTTACGCCGACTTAAGCGTTATGGATTATCCCATAAAGTATTACTTGAGAGCGCAGCTATTTCCAGAATGGTACATGGGGGCAGCAGGCCTATAAACGATGCACTACAGCAACTTCGAGATATCGCCGTGACTTCAAATGAACCGGGTACCAGAGCTTTATAAGGATGCAGTGAAAATATACAATCCTGCGTACAGCGACGAACATCCTGCTTTTGTTGCCTTACCCAAAAACACCGAAGACATCAAGCGCTGTCTCCAAGTTGCAAACAAGACTGGCGTTCCCGTGGTTGTTAAATCCGGGGGCCATTGCTTTGCTGGTTATTCAAGCACTGACAGTAATGGGTTTGTTATATATCTTAAGAACATGAATGAGGTTCACCTTAAAGGAAATACTGTCACCGTCCAGGCTGGTGCGAGCTGGGGGGATGTGTATTGTGCTCTGGATGACACTGGCTATGTGGCTGTAGGAGGATGTGTTCCAGCAGTAGGTATCGGCGGCTACATCCTTGGTGGCGGGTACAGCATGTTGTCACGAGCATATGGCGGGCTGGCATGTGACAAGGCAATGTCATTTACCATGGTTACAGCTGACGGAGGCAAGGTTGTGACAGCTTCTCCGAAAGAAAACGAGGATCTCTTTTGGGCTTTGAAAGGGGGCGGGGGCGGCAATTTTGGAATCTTGGTTGATGTTATATAGTTTAGAAGTGTGTGCACGACCAAATAAGTTTATCTGGACTCGTCTCATATATGATACAACTGATCAAAGCAAGAAAGGTCTTGATTCTGTTGGTAAAAATTTACACAAGTTACCAAAAGAACTCAACCTTGACATGGCACTTCATGGGTACTTTGGGAAAAAAGTGCTTACTTTGGATGCCGTATACTCAGATGTTCATGAAGCCAAAGTGCTATCAAGCCTTGAAAATCTCCATCCACCTGTTCCCAAAAAACCTCAGAAATTTACATCTTACCTACAGTTTACTAAAGAATACAGCAAACGACATGGTTTTGTACACCAGGAAGTAGAACCCATTTATGTCAAAGGAGTTATGATTGACACCTTACCACCATCCTTGGCCAAGTATTTTGCTGACCTTGACATACCAAAAGAATGCCTTCTTGAGTTTGTACACATGGTTGGTGATATCTCGCAGCATTCTGCCACATCAACTGCTTTTGCCTACCGCTCTGCTCAATACAGTTTTTACACATATGGCAGGTTTCATGACCCAAAACAGAGAGATGAAGTCTCAAAATTTGCTACCTCAACATATAATGCTGTTCACGAGTCAGGATGTGCTCTTGGCAGTTATGTTAACTATATGGACCACAGCCTTAAAAACTGGGCTGAAAATTACTATGGAGTGAATTATCCTCGCCTTTGTGAAGTGAAGAGAAAATGGAATCCCGTAGGGCAAGGATCCCTTCATTTTCAGCAGGAAATTGGTTCACCTTGGGAGCCTTAGTTTTTCACTTGCCCATGCATTTAAAACTCATTTTGTATTTCAATTAAATGCCACTTAACGGAAGGTTTTGAAACTTTGAACTTCTAAGATCACCAGGAATGTGTTTTTTTCCTATCAATCCATATTACATTTTTCCAAGTAGTACATTCTCTGCAAAATTATTTGGGTGCTATAGCCAACTCAGACCCATAGCTACATGATTCTCTGCTTAAAACTTGGTATAGAATTTCCAATAAGATAACTCTTTAATGAGCACCCACTCAGAATGCGTAATTCCTGAACAAAACTAACAATTTTTAGTTGGTTATGTACTAGCTAGCCTGTTGCAGTTAGTTATTTCCAGCTTATGGAATATTAACTTTTATATTCCTTGCATGGTTAACAAGTAATATTATTAATCCAGGTAATATTATTAATATTTTAATTATTTAAAAATAATTGGTGTTTTTTTTGTTGGTTTTGAATTTTTTAACTGAACTAAGAAACTTTAGCCAAATACTATCTTTTGTTGCTTATTTTACAATAATTGTATGGATTTCATCTAGTTTCTAAAAAGAAATATTAAAACAAATAGTTACTGAACTGAAGGCAAGCTGTAGCAGAGATAGCAGGGAAGGAGTTTGGGGAAGGGCTGCTCCCCCCCTCATACCCCACCCCTTAAAAAAATTCAAGAAAAACATTAGAGAAGTAAGAGAAAGGGTGTGGTTTGGCCAGCTCTGAATTTGCCTATGCCCCTCTCTGTGCTACAGCCCTGGAAAGTTTGTTAGCTGCTCAAGATTTTCTATTTTTTTTTACCAGTGGAACTTTATATTACCTTATGTTTGTACGAGCTTGCCATGTCAGTGCTACATTTGGAATGAGAACAAGTGTGGTATAGACATCATGCATGAAATAAGTAATAATATTTAGATAGATTAATAGTTATTTTAGTGGATATTGATAGGTATCTGATACCACAAATCTAAAATAAAAATCATTCACAATTATTTGATTCCCATTTTTTCGCAATACCAAGTAGTTTCAAGTAATAAGGTGTTTTTTTTTATGAAGGGAAACAATCTTATAGTAGGTAAGGTCCACTCGTGCTTTTTGCCCAGGGGGGAGGGGGGGGGGAAACTGGCTTGAAAAGTGGCCAGGGATGCACGTGCTTGACGGACGGATATGAAAATGACCCTAAGATGTATGCATGAATTAACCAAGCTCCAGACGCTGATTTTATACCCTTAAAGACACGACCACGACCTTTGATGTAAATTTGTATTGAACGCCAAATGTTTTCCCTACGGTACTGAGTCAGAAGTTTCAACTAGCTTGTCAAGTCTCCCTCTACCGGGATGGTAATAAAAAAACTTTATTTAAAAGTTTCATCCCGTTCTGTGATATATATTAAGAACCATAAATTTGAGTATCTTAAAGAATAAATTAGTCACAAAAGTGAAAGAGGAAATCGGGGATATCACTCGTGAAAAATCGCTATGTCAGCACTTCGGGTTTAATCGGACACTGGGGAGCGTTAGTAAGACTCAGGGAATTGTAGTAGATGAAGCATTCGTAAGTGGTGAAGTATGTTATGACGTACCTCAAAACGAGAGTCGCTGTGTCCATCTTTATCTCTCTGTAGCAACGTCAACAGTTGATGCACCATATGTAACATGTGAGTAGGATTTTACTGAAATTTTAGGGGCCTAAAAGGCAACCAATCCGACTTTTTGTTTGGTTTTAGGCAAGATATGCGAGAATGCATTATTACAGAACAAAACTAAGTTTCCAGACGCGATATTTTCTGGAAGTGGTTCCACTGACAATACCAAGTACAAAGAAGCGAGATTTTCTAGCGATGGTTGGTGTCCAACCGAGTCTGGAGATAAATATCTTCAAAAATTAATCATTGATAAATTGACGTTCTCCCTTTGTCGTTCGTGATCGGTGATGGCAAGGAATACAACTATGAAAACGTAACATACGTTAACCAACCTCTTCAACCAAACACAAGTTACAACGTGTTTCTGAGATTCTTTGAAAGCCAGGTAACTAAACGAATGTGATAGCATGTATGTATGTATAAATAATATATTTGTTTTCATTGGATAACGGAGAGTTATATAACTATATGATTTTCGTCTAGAATTCCTACTACTCCACAGAGTGGAGCAAAAGTATAAAGACGAAGGTAAACCAAGGTGAAAAATTGATCAATTGATAAATTGATCTTTAAAACGAATGTCACATAACGCTAGTTATGGTTATAAGTGATAAGGACCAAGCGAAATGAAGTAGATCCTATTTACTGAAACACAGCCATAATGAAAGTTTGGTAGATGCTAGTAGTGGCTTAAAGGTCAGTACGTCAGTATCCTTGATGCGTGATCAATGAAATTCAACCTTAGTTTGAAGACCGCAATTATAATTTCTTTGCAAAAGCACTGGCTCGAACGCGGATAAAAATTCTTGCTTTCAGGCGATATCCTTTAAATCTATCCTATGAAATAAAAAGTATGCAAATCAATACATTCTTCGAGAGCTCACACCAAACACTAATTATGTTGTTAGCATAAAGACACAGGATGGTCAACTAAAGAATACTCAGACAATAGTTTGCCACAAGTTCAAGACCAAAGAAGCTGGTATGCATAATGTGGGGGGGAAGCTTCTGATTTTTTCTGAATAATTCAAATTCAAATAATTGTTTTTATTCTTTACTATCATAGTTCCAAGTGGAGCTCCACGCAGTGTTATGATTAAATCTCGTAGTAAAAACTCGCTCGAAATTTCTTGGAGAGCTCCTGATAAGATATTTTGGAACGGTGAATTGGTGGGATATCACATTTGTTTTTCTACAAAGGAAAATGATGAAAGTCCGAAATGCTCAAACATAAAAGTTTTGTACATGTATGTACATATTTTCCCAATTAAGTAATTACAGGCTGATATAGAATTTGTACTAAATAATTATACTCCAGAATTAATACTCCGTTGAATAATTTTAATACTTCTGTAAAGAATTCGTACTACTCGACGGAATGGAGCAGCAGTTTTAAAACTATAGCCAAAGCACCTGCAGGTGAATATCTTCTATTTATTAATTTCCAGTTTCATCGTTCTCTGCACCGCAGATTAACGTGCGAGCCAGATAAAAATTCTTAAATTATTTTTGTAGTTTGTTTGAAATTTAACATTTCTAAACAATCAGCCGAAGACAAAACACACATGGGTCTTCTTATACCGCTGATTATTCTGGCTTTATGTTTTCTGGTTTCACTTGGTGTTATTGTGTACCAACGTCGTCTTCTTCAAAATAAAGATGTGAATCATGGATATCGAACCTAAAAAAACACGAACGAAATGAAAAAGTTCGGTAAGTTTAATGTTCACGAAGTGGTAAAAACGTAAAAAAAAACTTATTGTATAAATTATTGCTAAATTCTCATGTAACTTCATAGATTCTATTTCAAAAGATCCGAGAACAAACAAAGTATGATCAAACAACTCAACATGATGAGACTGTTTACGAGACTCCAGATGATGTTATTGAAGAAATCGAGCGAAATGAAGGTGCCTGTTCACGTGGAACAGAAAAAGGACAACCCAGATGATTACATAACCTCCTGGCGGAGGTGATTACATAACCTCCTAGCGGAGGTAATTATACGGTATATTGAAATTATAATTATATTGATAATAGTGTAACATAAATTACATAATGCTATTATTAATCATTTTCTCAGGCATAATAGTCCGGGAAGTACATTTGTCTGAGCTGTTTAATTGCTTGAACTTTACTGCGCAAATACGATATTTGATTCATTGAGAATGATGTATATATAGAATAATGTAGCCTAGTACATGCAAAAAATAGCGAGTAGAGAGACGCTAAGGTTTCCCCGGCAATCAAATTGTTAGGTTGTGTAGACAAAAGGCATAGTGTAAAGTATGGAATCGAGGTGGATATGCATGGGATGGTTATTAAAACTGATAACATTGTCTGCACTTTGCATAAAATCGATTTCAACATCAATTATGCTTTTAGCCTCTACTCTCTTGGATTTGTGGATATTTCAACTTTCCTTTTCACGACTACACAAGTTGAGTTGACGATATCGATCACTTGTGAGAGAAAGAAGATGAAATGTGAATCAACGAATTCGATGGCTTTGGTTACTTCTATAAATATCTATGACTATAGAAATCCAAGTATTGTGCAGTAATCCGATACCGGCTTGAATAGTTATTGAAATTAAAGTATTTTTTTCATACAGACAAATGCGGAAGTATACGACTTATTGAGCGATGCGTGTCAGTTAGGGAAACAGGTCAAAATGTCGTGGTTATTTTATCGATGGCTGCTTTTGTTTTATATCTCAGTAATAACGATTCAAGGTAAGACATTTAGGTTTTATTGTAGAGTATAAGAGAAGCTGCAGTCCACAGTACAACCGAAATGAACTGTTGAAATGCTTGCATGACAAAAATCTTTGTCTAAAAGCCGTCCGACACACTAGAGCTAAAAAGTCATTCGTGGCCATGGCCATTGGCGTAAGCCTTGCTCTCGTGTGCTGGCGTGGTCATTCGTACCAAAGGTCGGCGGAAAAGTGACCCGCACCAGGGCGGTTATAAGTTATCTTATAACCGCCCTGCCCGCACACGAGAGCAACTTGCTCACACGAATGACTTTTTACTAAGCACAAAGGCTGACATAGCTCTATTGTGCGGCGGCCTTGAATCCCATGCATGTAAATAACTGAAGAAAAAAGTGAAGAAATCAACAAACCGCTTTCGCTCCTTTGGTCATGTCAATGTTTGGAATCCTGACGCCTGCAATGCTTTGACGTTGTCTATGACTATGGCGCCTAAAATCATGGACTGCTGGCATGCATGGTTTGTAAATAAACGGGGGAATTTTGAACCGTCCTTATCTAAATCGTACAACATCAATATTCAAAACAGACAACTAGACCTAACCAATAAAACCTAACATAACCAAATATATGTATGCTTTTTTATCGTTTCATTCGGTAAAGGAAAGCTATTGTCAATATCGGGTTTTACATGCACGAGTTCACAAACAAGGAACGAGAAGTTCAATACTGCACGAGGCGAAGCACAAACAAAGAGTGCTTCAATGCTTTTAATATTCATTTTGAGTAAACTCGTAAAGACTTGATATCATTTTTAAACTTAACTAAACAACACATGCATGCTTACCTTTAAATACTAAAACACCCCAAGCCGGTTTGCCCGTTTAGTATTTTTCTGTGTGGATTCATCTATAATTACATAATTTCCTCTTAACTAAGTTCGGCAATTTTTTTGTTTGTTGCCGCCATTTTGATAGTGCAATAAATCCTATTATTATATGACTAGAATAGTTCATCGGTCCATCAACTAAAATCAAGCATTCTGATTGGTTCCTGAGCGGTCGGTAACCAACAGTACGGACCGGCCAGGTTCGGCGGGAATTTTTTAGTTGGGAATTTTAATCGTTTTTAGTCATATAATAAATAGTTTATTGACTGAGCTTGTTCGGTCCGTACAGGAGGATACTGGTCTCGTTCTTTTTTCGCTTGTATGGACCTCGCCTAAAGGCTCGGTCCATACAAGCGAAAAAAGAACGAGACCAGTATCCTCCTGTACGGACCGAACAAGCTCAGTCAATAATTGTTATATAACATACGCTCACGTGGTACAAATCGACCAATCAGAACGTAAGTTTACAAAAAATGAATATTAAATGTTATATCAAAATATTATGCCAATGCATACGCCGTCCGTTTAGAGGGGCGGGTAAAAACCCCTGGTAAAAACTCCGTAGAGATGAGAACATGGAACACTACTCGCGTTCAACTACTGCACTGTTTAATTCAGGATTCAGGATTACTTCATGTCTTTCAAATTCCAGGGCATATATACAGTATTAAGTTAAGCCATTTCTAAGCATTGTTTACACTTTTTTCACCTCGAGTGTATTTCATGCACTTCAATACTTTGCAAATTTTCTTGTATTTATTGCTTCTGAAAGAGGATGAAATTATTCACATTCAACTACTGCACTGCCACTGTTTAGTTCACGATTTTTTTTTTTCTTACAGATTCCTGGGAATTTTTTCTCAGGCAGACTGAAACCTCAGAGTGTATTGCACCTGAAGATAGTTATATTGGGTATGGTAATCATGCGAAACGTTATTTGGCTAAAATGTTCGACAACTGCTTGAAGAGTAGTGCACAGTTCCGTTATATTAACAAGACAGAAGTGATACACAATATCGACAAGGGAGGTTCGCTTTTTTGTAAACCAGACGATATCACATTTGGTGACAATCTGCTCGTTTATGATGGCGTTAAACCTACCGCAATAACATATGAAAAGGAAAAACAGCATAGTATTAAACAAAAGGTGTCAGGATCTCTGTTTTTTTACGAAAGAAAGTATTGTGTTCAGTCTAATGGTCTAGGCGCTATAGTGACAGTAGTACCAGAAGCAAGTTGCAACAACGCAAAAAAGTTCACATTTGGTAAGTATAATATGACGTATAACTAGAAGTGTAACGTTTACGTATATACTTCATTGTTGTATTGGTGCTGTGTATTTTAAATGTGATTGGTTAATTCGTATTCACATGACTTTAAATAAATGCAATGTTTCCCGCCAGGGAAACGAGGGAAAAATTGTTGCCCGCATATTGTCATAACAAAGTTTTTTGAAATGAAATTGTCTTAACATGTATGTTTTTGTTCCTATATAACAAAACACTTAATGTTCGCTACACCTCGGGAAATAGTGAGTTTTGTTTTCTCTCGAGTCTCAATGTCAAACATTCAGACTCTTGGGAAAACAAAACTCGCTATTTCCCTCGGGAGCATACAGTACATTAAGTATATAATACTCGTACTTTTGTAACTATCTAAACCAGATATCTTTTATGATGTGTTTTACCCAACCCACTGAACACAGAACCTTTTCGTGATGCATGAACTTGTCAAATCAAATGTGACAATTCATTCATACTGCACGTCCACAATATTATTCACAAGCATTTTTGCCATTATTGACAGGCTCAGTGACTCAGTTCAGCAATAAAATGAAAGATGTTCATTGTTCTTCAAAACAACGTATGGTGATCCACAAAGCTCATTATGGTGATTTCAATAATAGCGGGAGTTTTAATGCCAATGCAACTGTTGATATGAAATGTAGTCAACGAGCAAGTTGTCAGGTGAAATCTCTTTGTGGTGGAAAGAGAGCTTGTGAGCTGACCATTAACAATACTTTGTTATCATCGCCATATTGTTCTAAGAACACAGACCAACTTTATATCGAGTACACTTGTGTGGATATCTATTTGAATCCCATAAAAACAGGTACAGCGCATTGTAGAGGAATGCAAAATTGAGTGCCCATCATGATTGTTTGCATGCCACAATGTTTTAATAATTAAATATATGAAGTTTTTTGTGTTCTTCGATAGCCTGTCGTTGTACAAGTCTTTTCGGGTAACAATAGTTATATTCAAAATTATACGCACACGGTACTAAGAGCATTTTTTATAATTTTAGCTCCCAACATGAGATTATCAAAGTCGCCCAGCGAAGGTTTCGTTGAAATAAAGAATGTTTCCATTTGGAGAAAAGTAAGGGAGGAAATCTGGGACATCACTCGAGAAAACAAGCTGTGTCAGCACTTGGGATTTAATGGGACTCTAGGGAACGTGGTTAAGACTGAGAGAACAAAGTCAGGTCAGGAATTCGTAAGTGGTGACCTCTGTTATGACGCACCTCTGACGGATAGTTGCTGTGTCCATCTTTATCCCTACACAGCAACGTCAACCGTTTATGCGCCATATGTTACATGTGAGTAGGATTTTGGTAAAACTATTTCAGTCGGTTTTAGCCTCTTAAAAACTAATAACATGACATTTTGGTCTGGTTCAGTTTCCCGGTCACCTTTCAAAACACTGTTTTCTGTTTTAGGCAAGATATGCGAGCATGCATTATTACCGAACAAAGCTAAGTTTCCAGACGCGATATTTTCTGGAAGTGGTTCTACTGACAATACCAAGTACAAAGAAGCCAGATTCTCTGGCGATGGTTGGTGTCCAACAGAGTCTGGAGACAAATATCTTAAGATTGACCTTCAACACGAATATCACATAACACGAGTTATGGTTATGGGTGATAAAAATCAAACAAAGTGGAGTGGATCATATTCATTGAAATACAGTCATGATGAAAGTTTAGTTAACAGTAGTGGTAGTTTACAGGTTAGTACGTGAATATATCTCTGATACGTAATTAATATACCACTGTAAGAATGGGAAATATATAAATAATTAATAATGCCATTGTCGAGATTAATACCAACCGCTTTAAAAAACACAAACAAACGAATCGTAGCAGCAATGCTTTGCACTTTTAGGACTGACTATAAGAACAGATGAGGGAAATATATTGCGGTATAACCTAGAATTTATAGAATATACTAACTACTGTTATTTTTACGGTATCAAAGGAACTGCGACAAGATAAGAAAACAATCGTGTAACGTTATCTCAACTAAAGTGATTCATTTTTTTCAAAACTTCTTCTATAGATAAATGGTAATCAAAACGGTTATCAAGCATCGGCGACAGACATCGATATTTATAATGCCAGATACATAAAGTTGGAGCCGAACGGAGGAACAAAATTTTGCCTTAGAATAGAAGTGTGTGGTGAAGGTGAGTTGGTAGAATCTTTAACTGCCGGAAACGTTTTAATTTACCTTTTGATGTTAGCAAGAGAAGGGAGAGATGAGGTAGAGATGGTTTTGAAAATACGGCACAAAAATAAACCTAAGACTTTACTATAATGAGATATTTTTTCAGTTTAAATTTTCTCAGCTCAATCATGTCCACCTGTTGTAGTATAAAGCGAATAAACGTTTTGGTATTCTCGTTCCAGTCCAAACGCCTGCTCCCGTACAAAGGATTGTCGCCGAACCATCGTTCTATTCTGTTAATCTAACGTGGACAATACCAGTGGCTAAAAAGTCTTCTTTTATTACACATTTCATCATTTACTTGAACGGCACTGAAAGAGAAAGAATATCTCGTGTACAACATGGAAATAATTTCATTCTTCGAGGTCTGAAACCTAACACTTATTATAAAGTTGGCATAATGTCACAGGATGGATATTCAAAAAAGTCCATAGCGGTCTACAAAAGTTATAAAACTAAAAGAGCAGGTAAGAATAAAGATGCCAAGTCTGAACCTGGTTGGGCTTTATTATTGAGTGAGCCACTCTACCAGTTGCTTTTACTCCAACTTCTACGCTTTGGTTTCAAGTCAGCTTTAGTACGTTTGTAGTAAATTTAGATTGTTGATTTGGAAACTGACTGCATGTCTCCATTTTGCCCTATTACGTCATCTTGATTTGTTTTTTCACGCAAATAATAAAGGCTAGTATACTGTCCTTTCTACTTCAACACTGCTATTGTGAAGGTTGTATTGCAGCAATGAAAATATTTTGCACAAGAGTATAAAGAACACCGGAAATACAGTAGTAATTCAACATATTTGCAACTAACCGCACTTCTAAAAATTATGTTCTAATTTTCCCTGTCGACACTAAAAATAAGTTAAAATAAATTTTTTCGATCATGATTTAAAAGGTGTTTTTGGCTTTCTTATCCACCCTCAAGAATGAACATCTTAAGTTCGTATGATCTGTATTAAAGGGAATGTTAAAAAATGTATTTTTATTCTTCCGTTGTCAAGGGTTTTTTCTTAGACACACTCAGTCAGGAAAGTCTCGCAGCTAAAACTCCAACCTTTCTAAAAGATAAATATGGCACCCGTTATTGGGCTGAAATGGTCACCAACTGCTTGGATGATCTTGCACTGTTCCGTTATTTGGATAAAGAAATGTTGCATAATATCGAGACAGAAGGGAACGTCGTGTCTTCTTATGGTTCATACAGTAATCGTTTGTTTATATATGACGGGATAAATCAGGTTGGGAGAGATTTTGCAAACAGCACAAAACATCGTATAAAACAAACAGCTGCTGGATCTCTATATCTTTACAATGTGAATGATTGTGTGCAGCCTAATGTGCAGTATGTTGACGTGAAAGATACTTCATGCACCGAAGTAGCAGAACAAAAAATTACTTTTGGTAAGTAAAATTACTTTGCCGTTGAACTTATAAATTGGGTCGTTTCTGAACGTTCTTCCTGTTATAAGTGCTACATGCATTCTGTTGTCTGTAAGTAGTAATCAGAGAGGGAATCCTTTAAACCGACTTCTCACCGTTATTATGCTGTTTAGTTGATTTAAAACTCTTTTGCGGGCCTTCTAAAATAGCACCGTGTAAACTAGCACATTTTGCGGGGAGAGAAAATTAAAGAGAGAGGACTAAACCAGTGTCTTTTTAGGGATTTCTTCGTCGGGGGGGGGGGGTGGTGACAAAAGGAACCTTATGTCATGATTTAGAGGGAAAGCAGAAATAAAGAGAAAATATTTCATTCACTGGGGAGGGGGCGAAAATCCATCAATGGGGACGGAAGAGGGGCTAGGGGTTTATAACCTGGGGTCCCAGTTATAAGTTGAGAAGGCCCTGGCCTAACTAATGGAGTATTCCTTTTAACTTGTACTATTCGTGCTCTTCATTTTTCCCATTCTCTTGATGTTCATGTAATGATAACTACGAAACACTATGGATAGAGAAAATCTATAGATAGGGGTAATACCTAGTGTTAAACTTTGTCATCTCTGTACAGGGAATATCCTGCTGGGCTGATCATGTCGGACGACGCCTTTTATTTTTTATCGCCAGGCAGGGGCGCCGGAATATAGATAATAACGGGGGCAGATATTCATATATTCGTGTTCTGCATTATTAACTCCTTTTGAAATCGATTGTTTTCACGATCTGCGAACACGAATATATGAATATCTGCCCTCGTTATTATCGATATTCCGGCGCCCCTGTCGCCAGGCATATCGCATTAAGTTTCATGGGCCGAGTGTCTCTTCTGTTTGTTTCCAATATGACATGAATGTGCATTTTTTATAAACTTCTCCGTTGTTAGGTTCAGCGACCCAGTACGGCGACAAAATGAAAGATGTTCATTGTTCTCCAATACAACGTATGGTGATCCACAAAGCTAATTATGGAGATTTCATTGATGCTGCAACATTCAATGCCGGTGCAACGATTGATAAGAAATGTAGTGGACAAGCAAGTTGTGAAGTGAAATCTCTATGTAGTGGAAACAGATCTTGTGAACTGACCATTGACAATAATTTACTATCATCACCATATTGTCCTGACACAACGAAAGAACTTTATATCGAGTACACTTGTGTCGATAGTTATATGAGTCCCATAACAACAGGTATGATGCCTTATCTTTCAGTCTTTTTATATTTTATATTACTATAAAAAGCCCAATGATAGAGAAAATAAAATTTTGTGATGCCATGTATAAAAATCACTGTATTAGAAATCAACCTTAGGAATGTTTTTGACATCGACCCATGGTGAACCGTCTTCCACTGTGAATATTCCTCGCACGAAATTCCTCGCAATTTCAGATGGAGGAAGTTGGGATCTCAGATGAAAAAGCAAAATATTCAGATAATAACGCTAATTTGAAATGATATACATTGTTCGACAGTTTCAGCTCCCGACATAAGATTATCAAAGTCACCGAGCGAAGGTTTCATTGAAATAAAGAATTTTTCCACTTGGAGAAAAGTGCAAGAGGAAAACTGGGATATCACTCGTGAAAAATCGCTGTGTCAGCACTTCGGGTTTAATGGGACACTGGGGAACGTGAGTAAAACTCAAGGAATTGAAGATGGTCAAGCATTCGTAAGTGGTGACTTATGTTATGATGTACCTCAAAACGAGAGATGCTGTGTCCATCTTTATCCCGCTGTAGCAACGTCAAAAGTTGATGCGTCATATGTAACTTGTGAGTAGGATTTTAATCAAATCATTCCTGTGAATTTCATCGTAAAAACAGACAACAAAACCGTTTGGTCTCGTTTAGCTTGCTGACCTTTAAAAAAACTATACTCTGTTTCAGGTAAAATTTGTGAGAACCCATTATTACAGAACAAAACTAAGTTTCCAGACACGACATTTTCTGGAAGTGGTTCTACTGACAATACCAAGTACAAAGAAGCGAGGTTCTCTGGCGATGGTTGGTGTCCAACAGAGTCTAGAGACAAATATCTTAAAATTGACCTTAAAAACGAATATCACATAACGCGAGTTATGGTTATGGGTGATAAAGATCAGACAAAGTGGAGTGGATCATATTCATTGAAATACAGTGATGATGAAAGTTTGGTGGATGCCAGTCGTGCAGTACAGGTGTATAAGAATAAGAAATATATAGATTTATGTCAATATCATAATGAGTAAAGTTATCAAGATTTACTAACTTCTTTTGCTGTCAAGATTTACTAACTTCTAGCCGTTGTTGTTTATTTCAAAGCAACCAACGTTGGTGCAAGCTACGTTATGCATGAAAAAGATCAGAAAGCAATCGTGGAACGTAATCTTAACTGAAGTAACTCATTTTCTTCTAAACTTCTAGATAAATGGAAATCGAAACAGTTATCAAGTATCGGCCACAGACCTAAATATCTATAATGCCAGATACATAAAGTTGGAGTCAAACGGTGGAGCAGACTTTTGCCTTAGAATAGAAGTCTGTGGAGAAGGTGGGTCGGTAGAATCTTTAATCGCCGGAAACCTTTTAATACAGAAATTATATCGGACAGCTTGATGTTAGCGAGAGAAGAAAGAAACGAGGTAGAGAAGGTTTGGTAAATATGACACCAACCTGAAGACATAACCTTTGTCCATATGCTTTAAATTGTCAAAAAGCCAAAATGCACTGTACTGTAATGAAATATTTTTTCAGTTTAAATCCTCCCAGCTCAAGCGTAACTTGTGTTTACTTTTCTTTTCATTCCAGTCCAAATGCCAGCTCCGGTATACAGGGCATTGTAAATTATATAATCCTATAAATATCACAAATTTTCACGAGTGAGGGCAGCGAACGAGGAAATCATTGTGCATAATATAGTAGAATCTTGAATGAGGATGAACATGATATGAAGGATAATTAAGTTTGTCGTTATTAATTTTGATTAATTTAAAACTTTATTCACATTCGGATTTCACATTCTCGCTAATTATTCCAGTGTCTAGCGAACCTCCACAGAATGTGATTTTCAAATCTCGCGGTACGACATCGCTGGGAATTTCGTGGACAGCCCCTGTGAGTACAAGAAACGATGAATTGACAGGATATCAAGTTTGCTTTTCTACAAGAGATAAACTAAGTCTTCCAGAATGTTTAGTCCATAACAACACAAAAACACTTTCATTTACAATCACCGATCTTCGACCTTTCACAAAGTACTTTGTGACGGTTTCAGCCATCACAAAATTTAGTCATGGGAAGAAGAGTTTGAACGTCAGCAAAATAAAAAATGGAGGTAATGACGATTTCAATGTAAAATTTCAGGCCTGCCTATAGTGCTGCCGCACAGAAATACCCTTAAACGATGAACACTCTGATAATATTGGTAATCTCTGCATTTGAATATATATAGAACCAGTTATTCCAATCGCGACTTCCTATTATACTTTGACTTTGAGCATACCACGACCAGAAGGATATATCAAGTAAGTATTATCGTCACAATTTCTCTCTTTCTGACGTTTTAATCATGTTAATTAATTAATGCTTTAGGGAAGTTATGATCATCGTCCAAAGATCCAAAAGTAGAAACGTCTCGAGCGAGGAAATTACAACAAGTGATCTCAAAAATTACCAGCTAGACACACAAGATCCATACATCACTGCTTATATGAAAGCTGATGTTTTACCCTTGACGTTCGTGATAGGAAATGGCAAGAATTACAGTTCTGACAAAAATAACTACCACAACCAACCTTTAACGAGAAATTCAAGTTATAATGTGTTCTTGAGGTTTTTTGAGAGTCAGGTGAGTATTTCAATGGAATTAAAATATTTAAGTAGGTTACAGGAAGAGGACTTGAATGTGTAGAAAGCGACAATGCAAATATTACCGTTTCCTAGGACTCATACTACTCGACAGAGTGGAGTGGTAGCATTTACACAATGGGGAGACCTTCAGGTAACTAATTACCCGAAATTCAAGCGTTTTCATTATACGTTGAAATATCTTATCTGTATTCGTTTCTGCATAATTTTTTGTTTACAAACTAATAAATATCTTAAATATTTTGATGAGAACCGGAGTTTCATTATAGATGGGAGTGGGAAACAGTCAGTTCACGAGTGTACGGAAGACAAAACCCGGCTTGATCTCCTTATACCACTGAGTATTCTAGCATTGTGCCTTCTTCTCTCGTTTGGCGTAATCATATATCTATGTCGTCGTCAAAACAGCTATTCTAGCTCTGAAGGAGTTAGCCAAGCAATGGAGCTGGGTAAATAAACCATATTTTACTTTACAAGCATTTTAGGATTCATTTTAGGAAGAATTGTTGTCATTGTTCGAGCTAAAAATCGAATTTCTTTGGTCTTCGCTTACCTTTTTGATATCATTTCTTTTCGTTCAAAATCAGCCACAATCCTATTGCATGTACAGATTAAATGTTTGTCTTTTAATCTGTTAGTTTCCATTTAATATTTTTATCTGTTAGACTCCATTCAAACCCCTACCAGTCGCCAGACTGAAAATGCGAATGACTGTGTCCCTGTGACTGTGTACGAGATTCCAGACGAAATTGAGCAACATGAGGCTCCATACGAGACAGACAAAGAACAGGAATCATCGGATTACATGCCGTTGAATGACAACAGAGAACCAGCAAACGTTTATCAGTCACTGCAACCCCCCGGGACCAATAATGGTCAACGTCATCCTGAGGGGAGTGGTGAATTAATGGAATACGAAAATGCTGCCTTCAATTGAGATTTTAATTCTTACTGATATATTCACTAAAAATGCATGTATTGCTGAACTCCCTGCACATATATAACACTTAAATTCGAGTCATCAGACCATTTGCTGGTTTTTTATTCATAGACGTGCGAAATTAAATTATCCGCATTAACAATACACTTAAGTCTTTCCTTCTTCACTTTTATCAAATATGTAAAATTTCGTCCATCAGCCTAGGGCGTGAATTCCACAGAACCTTTTTCTCGGCGAAATGTGAAATATTTCGGCTGTTTTTTTGAATTTCGACTACTTGAATAAATTAATTCAGGCAGGCAAAATATTTCGCATTTCGATTGAAAAGTTTAGCACGTAGAAAATGTTCACTTTGTGAGCTACACAATTAAAAGTTTTATTGTACTATTGTGTTTATTAATAACGATATGGATTTTTAGGCCTGTTTTAGACGTCGAACATTTCATGTGCCGAACATAATGCAAATGAACTAAAGTCTTTGTTTTTGTTCATTTTCATTCGATTCGGCACATGAAAAGTTCGACGTCTGAAATCAAACGGGCCTTAATTGTCTTTTTTTTTGATACATCTGATATACCCTGCATGTAAACCTGTAAGACAAGACGACCCGCTCGCCTTAATAATTATAAGGTACAGCGGCATATGGAGGAAAAATATTCTTCTGAAATCGGTAAAAATAATGAAATCGAATGAGGATCGAAGATCTTCCTATTGACAAACGTATATATGCAAGGTAAAGTTTTCCTTCCGCGAAGGACTTGTTTACATCGACATGTCGCTATATCTTACCGCTTGCAGATAATTATGCATGGCTTTGTTGACAAAAATAGGGCGACGTGTGGAGAACAAACTCGTCAAAAGGAAGTCTGTCCTCGCGAAATTGATCATTTGATCTGACATAATATACATTTTGAAATTCTTTCTTGACTAATTTGCAGTGGCGTAGCCAGCCTGACAATTTAGTCATGCTATGCTAATAATTTGGTGTTCATTGAGTGTGAAAACAATGCGGAATTTCTAAAGAATTTAGTAATTCTAATGACTCGAAATTTGCATAGCATGACCAAATTGTCAGGCTGGCTACGACACTGCTAATTTGCAGTTGCAAAAAATTGTTTTTAACTTTGAAGATCGACACGCCGCCACCTTTATTGTAAAGGCTTGTTTTCATATAAAATTCGTCGTAATTCACATGCATGTCATAATTCCTTGTAATCATAGTTGTAATTCGTTGTTATGCAAAATCCGACATTATGAAAACAGAATTACAACAAACTACAACTGAATTATGACATATGAATTTCGACGAATTATGAAAACAAGCCTAGCTTTACGGCGACCTGCATGGCCAGGCGTGGGTTCGCTGATATCCGTATGAGAACTCTGCCGAGTTGTGTTTTCCGCAATGCTCACGGATCAGTCCATAAATTGTAATCAGTTTTAATTCCACAAATCCGGCCGTCTATTTAAATTTTAAAAACCCTTTACGCGAACCTGCTTAAGGCTACTTTCAACTTACGTATTTTTTACGCGCGGTAAACTTAAAAGCTTCCAAATTTTTATTATTTGACACATAGGCCAACAAATGCATACTAAAATATGCGGAAAACCAAGTTTTTTTTATCCTTATTTCAAACATCCTTATTTCATACAGACAAATGCGGAAGTATACTACAATATTGAGCAACGCGTGTCAGTTAGAGAGACAATTGTCAAAATGTCGTGGTTATTTTATCGATGGCTGCTTTTCTTTTATATATCAGTAATAACGATTCAAGGTAAGATATTTAGGTTTTATTGTAGAGTATAAGAGAAGCTGCGCCTGCGGTCCACAGTACAACCGAAATGAAGTGTTGAAGTGCTCGCATGACAAAAATCTTTGTCTAAAGGCCGTCCGACACACTAGAACTAAAAAGTCATTCGTGGCCATGGCCATTGGCGTAAGCCTTGCTCTCGTGTGCTGGCGTGGTTATTCGTACCAAAAAGTTGCCGGAAAAGTGACCCGCACACGAGAGCAACTGGCTTACGCTAATGGCCACGAATGACTTTTTGCAAAGCGCATAGGCTGATATAGCTCTATTGTGAGTAAATCAAGAAATCAACAGACCGCTTTCGCTCTTTTGGTCTGCCATGTCAATCTTTGGAATCCTGACGCCTGCAATGCTTTGATCAATCTTCAGCATAGACGTTGTCTATAGCGCCTAAAATCATGGACTGTTCGCATACATAGCTTATAAATAAACGGAGGAATTTGGGACCGTCTTTATCTAAATCGTACAACATCGATGTTCAGAACAGACAACTATAGACCAAACCAATAAAATCTTACGTAACCAAACATATGTATGCTTTTTTATCGTTTCATTGTAAAGGAAAGCTATTGTCTAAATATGATTACATCAAAATATTATGCCAATGTATACGCTATCCGTTTAGCGGGCGGGTAAAAACCCCTGGTAAAAACTCCCGTAGAGATGAGAAAATGGAACAATACTGGCGTTCAATTCAACTATACTGCACTGTTTCATTACTTTCCCTTTCAGATTTTCAGATTCCACGACATATATATATATATATATATATATATATATATATATATATATATATATATATATATATATATATATATATATATATATATATATATATATATATATATATATATATATATATATATATATATATATATATATATATATATATATATACAGTATTAAGTTAATGAATTTCTAAGCATTGCATATTTACGCTTCTATCCCCTCGAGTGTATTTCATGCACTTCAATACTTTGCAAATTTTCTTGTACTTATTGCTTCTGAAAGAGGATGAAAATTACTAACATTGAACAACTGCACTGTTTAATTCACGATTTATTTTTTTCTCGCAGATTCCTGGGAATTTTTTCTCAGGCAGACTGAAACCTCAGAGTGTATTGCACCTGAAGATAGTTATTTTGGGAGAGGTGATCATTCGAAACGTTATTGGGCTAGAATGGTTGACAACTGCTTGAAGAGTAGTGCACAGTTCCGTTATATTGACAAGACAGAAGTGATACACAATATCGACAAGAGAGGTTCGCTTATATGTATACCAAAGGATAGAACATATCGTTACAATCTGCTCGTTTATGATGGCGTTAAACCTGCCGCAATAACATTTGAAAAGGATAAAGATCATAGTATTAAACAAAAAGTGTCAGGATCTCTCTTTTTTTACGAAAGAAAGTATTGTGTTCGGTCTAATGGTCTAGGCGCTAGCGTGACAGTAGTAACGGAAGCTAATTGCAAAAACGCAAGAACTTTCACATTTGGTAAGTTAAATATAAAGTAATAATTACATGTAACCAAACGTATAGTAACATATATCCTACAATATCAGTCACAGCATTTGGAGTGTAAACGATGTTGGTAAACTGCTTTTTTTACAAAAGAATATGACTGTAGACCTGTGACGTATTTCAATAATGCATTTCAATTTTTTATGCATTTTTAAACTTATTCATTATTACCATTATTGACAGGTTCAGTGACCCAGTTCGGTGACAAAATGAAAGATGTTCATTGTTCTTCAAAACAACGTATGGTGATCCACAAAGCTCATTATGGTGATTTCAATAATAGCGGGAGCTTTAATACCAATGCAACTGTTGATATCAAATGTAGTCAACGAGCAAGTTGTGAGGTGAAACGTCTTTGTGGTGGAAACAGATCTTGTGAACTGATCGTTGACAACAATTTACTGTCATCACAACATTGTTCTGACACAACAAAAGAACTTTTTATCGAGTACACTTGTGTGGATAACTATATGAAGCCCATAACAACGGGTCAGTAATGCATATTGTAGAGGGGAAGACTTTTAAGGTTAAAATCGAGCGCCTATTATTGTATAGATATGCCACAATGCTTTGAATTTGCTAATTTGGAAGATTATGGATATTCTCCAAAATTAAATGTATAAATGTTTTGTATTTTACGCCAATCGACAGTCTGTTACTGTACAAGGCTTTTCAAAAGATCAATAAAATTCGAAATTATATGTACACGGTACTACTTTACCAAAGAATTTTTGTGGTTTTAGCTCCCAATATAAAATTATCAAAGTCACCGAGCGAAGGTTTCATTGAAATAAAGGATGGTTCCACTTGGAGAAAAGTTAAAGAGGAAATTTGGGATATTATTCGTGAAAATTCGCTGTGTCAGCACTTAGGATTTAATGGGACACTGGGGAATGTTGCTAAAACAAGGAGAATTAAGAAAGGTCAGGAAATTGCAAGTGGTAACCTTTGTTATGATGCACCTCTGAACAACAGTGTCCATTTTTATCCCTTTACAACAACGTCAAGCGTTGATGCGCCATATGTGACATGTGAGTAGGATTTTGGTGCAACTTTTTTAGTCGATTTGCCGAACACTTTTTAAAACACTGTTCCTTCACTTCCTTGTCTTAGGCAAGATATGTATGAATCCATTATTACAGAACAAAACTAATCTCCTCGACACGATATTTTCTGGAAGTGGTTCTGCTGACAATACCAAGTACAAAGAAGCGAGGTTTTCTAGCGATGGTTGGTGTCCAACAGAGTCTGGAGACAAATATCTTAAGATTGATCTTCAAAACGAATATCAAATAACACGAGTTATGGTTATGGGTGATAAAAATCAAACAAAGTGGAGTGGATCATATTCATTGAAATACAGTCATGATGAAAGTTTGGTAGACGGTAGTAGTGGTTTACAGGTTAGTACGTGAATATCCTTGATGCGTGATCAATATATTGCTGTAATCAACCTTAGTTTAAAGACTTATATTTTCTTTGCAAAAGTACTGGCTCGAAATATTCTTTGCATTTATGCTATGAAATAAGAAAGTGTGTTTCTTCCTAAATCCTCTTTTAGATAACAGGAAACATGTACAGCTTTCAAGAATCGACTACTGACGTTGATATTTATAATGTGAGATATATCAAGTTACAATCAACTGAAAACACAGACTTTTGTCTCAGAATAGAACTCTGCGGAGAAGGTGCGGCTTTTTTACAAGTTACTTGTCATTTTACTTGTCAAAGTTTCATCGAACTGAATTAACACCATCTTTCTCCCAGTGCAATCTCTGGCTCCTGTTCAAAACGTTGTTGCTAAACCATCAAATTTCTCTGTTCATCTGTCATGGACAATACCATCACCTGAGGCATCCACTTTTATCACACATTTCATCATTTACTTAAACGGTACCGAGGTCAAAAGAATATCGCGCGCATATTATGTAAATCAGTACAATCTTCGAGAGCTCACACCAAACACTAATTATGTTGTTGGCATAAAGACACAGGATGGTCAACTAAAGAATACACAGACAATAGTTTACCACAAGTTCAAGACCAAAGAAGCTGGTATGCATAATGCTGGGAGGCGTCTGATTTTTCTCTGAATAATTCAAATAATTGTTTTTATTTTTTATTATCATAGTTCCAAGTGGAGCTCCACGGAGTGTTATGATTAAATCTCGTAGTAAAAACTCGCTCGAAATTTCTTGGAAAGCGCCTGATAAGATATTTTGGAACGGTGAATTGGTGGGATATCAGATTTGTTTTTCTACAAAGGAAAATGATGAAAGTCCGAAGTGTTTAAACATAAACGTTTTGTCCGCCTTATCATACGTTTTTTCTAATCTTATTCCTTCAACAAAATACTTTGTGACAGTCTCGGCTGGTACAAAAATTGGTTTTGGAAACAAAAGCTCAGAAATAAGTGAAATAACAAATGGAGGTAAAGAAAATAAAAAAGGACTTTTTAAAGAAGCGTACAGCATGGAAAAGAATTGCCGAATATGCACTATTTGATCACATGTAAAAATTGTTAATTTTTTACTCCAAAGTTAAATTAACGTGTGTTATTTTATGATATAGAGCCTGTGAACCCTGTTGTGATGTCCCACTTTGATCTTGGTTTAAGGATACCTAAGGCAGCGCCGTATATAAGGTGCGTGTACATTTCAGGCGTAACATTTTGTCAAAGCAAGTGTGTGTGAACATCATTCATGTTTTTTCCATTCAGAGAAGTACTGATTATTGTTCAAAGAGCCACAAGAAGTCAAACACCAAGTGAAGACATAAGAGCAAGTAAACTGAGACCATACAAATCAAACACTCAAGATTTTTACATCACCGCTTATTTGAGAGCAGACGTTTTCCCTGTGTCGTTCGTGATCGGTGATAGCAAGGAATACAACTATGAAAACGTAACATACGTTAACCAACCTCTTCAACCAAACACAAGTTACAACGTGTTCCTGAGATTCTTTGAAAGCCAGGTAGCTAACTAAACGAATGTGATAGCATGTATGTATGTATAAATAATAAATTTGTTTCCATTGGATCCCAGAGTTAACTATATGTCTTTCGTCTAGAATTCCTACTACTCCACAGGGTGGAGTAAAGGTGTGAAGACGAAGGTAACCCCAGGTGAAAAATTATGAATATACAAGTTTTTTATTGTTCAAATATTTCATTGCAACTGTAAGTTTACGTGAATTATATCAAATCAGATGTATCAGATACTTAGTCTAATTCACACCCCTAAAACTATTGGATTTGGTTCACTATTTGATTCACTAATCTGTTTCTCGTTCAAAAAAGGACCCAGTGGACCTCCACTGGATGTTTCTTTAAAATCTCGTGGTAAATACACATTGGAAGTATCGTGGGAGGCTCCTGAAGAAAGTTCAAGAACTGGAGAATTGATTGGATATCAAGTTTGCTTTTATACCAACGAGACTCCTTTAGAATGCTTTGTGCTGAAAAACACGAATGTGCTTGCACTTACTCTGAAAAACCTTCAGCCTTCTACGAAGTACTTTGTGACTGTCGCAGCGAACACAAAAGCTGGTTACGGAGAGAAAAGCTCGGTAGTGAGTAAGATAACCAATGGAGGTAAGAAAGACCACAGTATATAAGTTCATATGCATTATCACCAAGCATGTTTTAGTATAATATAACTTAAATGCATATATACTTTGAATCTATTATTCATGCTATACCAGTTTATTGTTTCTAGAGCCGTTGAATCCTCTCACAACTTCCTATTACACTCTGACGTTAAACATCCCCAAAGCAGCAAACTATATTAGGTAGGTAATTTTTGAAACTTTCAAAATGTTTATTCAGAATTACATGTACAGGCGTCGGGTCAACGTCAATTGAAAGCAAACATTACAATAATAAATAAATAACGTCTGACAGAACCAGAAGCCTATAAATCCTGTTGACACATACAGCAACGCGTTTAATTTGAAGCTTATCATTTGTACAACTCTAGGATCCCTGTAATGAATAATAATTTTATACCTTAATTATGACCAAATATTTTCCATAAATTTAGGCAAGTGATGGTGATCGTTCAAAAAGCCGCGAGCAGTTCACTACAAAGCCAAAATATTGAAACAAGTAAACTCAAGGCATATCAGGCGAACACCCAAGATCCTTATGTCACTGCTTATTTAAAAACTGATGATCTTCCTTTGATGTTTGTGATTGGCGATGGCAAAGAATATAATTTTAAAACAGAAAAATACTTCAACCAACCTTTGACAACCAATTCGAGTTATATCGTGTTTTTGAGATATTTTGAGAGTCAGGTAAATGAAAAAAGAAAATAAATATTATGTTAATGATTTGAAATAAGGTGTTTCAAAATAATTATTGAATCACTAAGAATGTGTACATGTATGTACTTATTTGCCCAAGTAATTACAGGCAGATCTAGAATTTGTGCTAAATAATTACTTTCCAGAATTAATACTCCAGTGAATGATTTTAATACTTCTGTTAAGGATTCGTACTACTCGACGGAATGGAGCAGCAGTTTTAAAACTATAGCAAAAGCACCTGCAGGTGAAGATCTTCTATTTATTAATTTCCAGTTATACTTTTGTTTCATCGTTCTCTGCACCGCAGATTACCGTGCGAACCAGATAAAGATTCTTAAATTGTTTTTCTAGTTTGTTTGAAAAGTAACATTTCTAAACAATCAGCTAAAGACAAAACACACATGGGTTTTCTTATACCGCTGATTATTCTGGCTTTATGTTTTCTGGTTTCACTTGGTGTTATTGTGTACCAACGTCGTCTTCTTCGAAATAAAGATGCGAATCATGGATATGAAACCTCAAAGCAGACGAACGAAATGAAAGAGTTTGGTAAGTTTAAAGTTTTCGAAGTGGTAAACTAAGTTGCCATTACTTGGTTACTTCAGCATAATGATTAAGTTTAGATATTAAGAAAAAAATATTTGTTTGTCATCATGCAGGAAAATATAAGTTATGGAAAGTTTAGTAAAGAAAAGTTTGAAAAAATCAGTAGTTGTCATAACATTCGTAGCTACTTTTTTACACTTCCCTATACTCGTGCATGATTATAGGCAATGGAAAAGTAATAATGTGTTATAGATAGAGTATAATCGTGTAAAACTTTCAAAAAAAATTGATTGTACAAATTATTGCTAGATTCTAGAAAAAACAAAAGAGCAAAGTATGATCAAAGAACTCAAAATGATGAGACTGTTTACGAGACTCCAGATGATGTTATTGAAGAAATTGAGCGAAACGAGGGTGCACGTTCACGTGGAACAGAAAAAGGACAAGAATCATCGAACTACATGTCGTTACAAGACAAAAAAGAACCAGCAAACGTTTATCAGGCATTGCAACCCTCCGTCACAAACGATAATCAACGTCACACTAAGGAGGGTGGTCAATCAGTGGAATATCAAAATCCTGCTTTCAATGCAGATTTCAGTGGTGAATAGTTATTCGAGAAACAAATTCTACAAATATTATAATATAGACATAGTCATACATGCATTGGCATTTCTTAGCATTACATACACATGAAAAAATTCTCTCAACATAATTTTAGTAATGTATACTATATTTGTCGGGTTTAATTTGACTGTGTATACAATGAACAAGAAGGAATTTCGTTTTAGCCAACCAGCAAGTTTGTTTACATTTTCAGTAACCCAATCAGAATGCATAAACTTTGATAAGAAGTACAATACATATCATTTTACATGAAGTACTAAAAATTTAGGCATTCTGATTGGCTTTGCTTAAAAAATGTAACCAAATATGGTGATTAGTTGTAAACAAAATTCCTCGTTGTTTATACAATGACAATATAGTCCACAGACTCGCGGTAACTCGTTACGTTCGTTCGTGTAAAGGCAACACTTAAGGCCATTTTATACAGTGCAATTTTTCCTGGAATGCAATTCTTCTTTTGAGAGATGTAAATTTGGCAACTACCAAACTTGTCTTTATTGCACTCCGTGACGTTTCTTACACTTACATTTCGAAGACTTCTTCGACACAATTAAACGCAAAGCACAAACTATATAGAAAATTTGTCAGAGTTAATGATATATACGCAAGGAAATATTCTGGTAGTCTTTTAGCGCCGCAAAATTCGCCATGTGAGTGAATTTACATAATATTCGTTTTCGGAATTTGATGCATCGCGAATAGTCGATGAAAGAGTCCACGGCCCACGGATATAATATCGCTAGTACGTATTTTGCACTGAATGGAATGAATGAAAATTTTTTATAATGAGGTAAATATAAGCGATCAATATTAAATTTCCAAGGGATCGTATTTATCTGTGTATTCAATATTCGAATATATAAAACACATTTTCAATATTTTCAATGGTATTGTGATTAACGGATAAGATTGTTTATTTTTCTTCAGATAATATAATACAGGCATAAAACTAAAAAGCAAGACTCAAAACGTTAAAGCACCGGGATCGAGGATCAACGTTAAAGAGCTCATCCTAATCTCGAAACGAAAGCCAGCGATCGATCGGGGGAAGCTTATCCTCGTGGAGAACAACGGAGCTAGGCTCTGGTGACGAGGATGTGTAGAGCTATATTTGCTAATACGTTCATCGTGCACCACCAATTAAAAACGTTTTTTCTTGAGGTTCACCACAGTGACGATGTAAAACTAACAGCTTCCGTCACAAAGAAGTTACGGTACATTTATACTATAATTATAGTGATAATTAATAATTTTCTCAGGCATAATAGTCCCGGAAGTGTTTTGCAGCTGAAACCTCGCTGATAGTATAGGAAGCGAGTACCTTTGTTTGCTCTGTTTAATGGTTGGACTTTACTGCGCAAATACGATATTTGAATTATACAGAATGATGTAGCATAGTACATGCAAAAGATAGCGAGTAGAGAGATGCTAAATAAGGTTTCTCGGCGGTCAGATTGTTATGTTGTGTAGACAAAAGGCTTAGTGTAATGTATGGAATCGAGGTCGACGTACAGGGTGATTAAGCGAATCATCACGAAAGCGGAATGTTTTAGTACCGGATTCATGTTGCTGTTTATACACGCAGCAACGAATCCGATAGAAAATGTACTCGGTTTTAAGCCGTATCCGGAAACTTTGAATGCGTAAAAGTTTGTGGAAACTTCGTATCCAGAAACATTTGAATCCGGAAAATTTTCTTGTGTAAACGCTTTGCACGACGAATCCGAAGAAATTCAAACGTGACGACCAAACAATTCTCCAAGAACAAGTAATGTAAGTTAAAACGGACAAATCCGCATACATGCAGAGACAACTAAAGTGTAGTGTAAACACCTGACGAATCCGATACATGTGTGTAACAATGAATCCGGATAATTTTACAAATCCGGAAACTTTCATTCTAGTGTAAACGCGGGGTCTAAGAAATGAAAACATTGTCTGCACTTTGCATAAAGTAGATTTCAACACCTATTATGCTTTTAGCCTCTACTCTCTAGTCTCTAGGATTTGAAGATATATTTCAACATTTCTTTTCACGACTACACAAGTTCAGTTGGGAATATCGATTACTTGTGAGAGAATTAAAGAAGTTGAAATGTGAATCAACGAACTCAATGATGGCTATAGAAATCCAAGTATTGTGCCATAACCCGATACCGGCTTGAATAGTGATTAGAATTAAAGTATTTTGTTTTGTACAGAAAAATGCGGAAGTATGACGACGTATTATTGAGCTATTTGTGTCAGTTGTCAGTTGTCAAAATGTCGTGGTTATTTTATCGATGGCTGCTTTTCTTTTATATATCAGTAATAACGATTCAAGGTAAGATATTTAGGTTTTATTGTAAAGTGTAAAGGCGGATTTCCACTTACAGCGAAATCGTTCGCTGGCGAAATATTTGCATATTTTCTTTTGAATTGAGAACACTCAAGTCGCACTAATTTTTTTATGCTGTTTAAATTCAAAAGAAAATATGCCAATATTTCGCTAGCGAACGATTTCGCAGTAAGTGGAAATCCGCCTTCTGCAGTCCACAGTATAATTCGTCATTCGATTCGTCGGCGGAAAAGTCGCCGGCACACGACATCAACTGGCGTACGCTATACTGGCCACAACTGACTTTTTGCTAAGCACGTAGGCTGACATAGCTCTGTTGTGCGCCAGCCTTAAATCCCATGCATGTAAATAAGTCCAGAAATTAACAGACCGCTTTCGCTTCTTTGGTCATGTCAATATTTGGAATCCTGACGCCTGCAATGTTTTGATCAATTTTCAGCATAGACGTTGTCTAAAGCCCCTAAAATCATGGAATGCTGGCATGCATTGCTTATAAATAAACGGTGGAATTTGGAACTGTCCTTATCTAAATCGTACAACGTCAATGTTCAGAACAGACAAATAGATCTAACAAGTAAAACCTTACGTAACCAAATATATGTATGCTTTTTTATCGTTTCATTGTAAGGGAAAGCTATTGTCTATATACGATTATAACAAAATATTATGCAATGTGTACGCTATCCGTTTAGCGGGGGGTAAAAACCCCTGGTAAAAACTCCGTGGAAACGTCGAGAAGTGTTTTGTCTATTTTAGGCATGCAGTTGTTATACCACATTTGATGCTAAGTTGAGTTTGAAAACGCTGCCACGCTGCTCCCTGGTTATATTGGGACGGTCAATAAAAGCCGGCGCACACTAGAGCTATGTGCTTAGCAAAAAGTCATTCGTGGCCATTGGCGTAAGCCAGTTGCTCTCGTGTGCGGGCGACTTTTCAGGCGACTTTGGTCATTCGCACCACTTACGGCAAATATCAAGCATGTTTGATAATTTCTGCCTCGCGTGCCGAAATCTTTCCGCGTGTGCGGCAAACTGAAAGCTATATCTGCTTATGGATTGTCTTAACAGCGCATGCGTTATATACGAAAGTAAACATCCAAGATAGCGGTGCAAACAAAGCAAAATGAATTGGTGGCTGAGGTCATATTGGAAGACAAACTGGTTGATCTTTGGCCAGAATACAGGTGTTTATACAATTTGAATTCTACAGATTTTAGAAACAGAGAGAAACGGGAATGCGTTATTGCAGAAATATAGCTAGTAAACTTTCTCAAACAGGTAATATAATTAATAGCACTTGGATAACGGTGTTTAGTCTAGTCCGACGCAACAGCAACAAAAAAAACAACACCTCTTCGTCTTCACTTTCATCCATAATTTTGTTTTTGCAATCTGTACGGCATCTTGGATGTTTACTTTCGTATATTACGCATGCGCTGTTAAGACAATCCATAAGCAGATATAGCTTTCAGTTTGCCTCACACGGAAAGATTTCGGCACGCGAGGCAGAAATTATCAAACATGCTAGATATTTGCCATAAGTGGCACGAATGACCAAAGTCGCCGGAAAAGTGGCCCGCACACGAGAGCAACTGGCGTACGCCAATGGCCACGAATGACTTTTTGCTAAGCACATAGCTCTAGTGTGCGCCGGCCTTGTTAGGATTAGGTTAAGGGTCAGATTTAATATATTATATAGCGCGATATTTTAGCTTGATCTGCTGCAGGGCAGTTGAATGAAATGATTTTTTTTTCTTTTCAAGGGTTTTTTCTCAGGCATACTCAGTCAAAAAAATGTATTGCAGTAGAAACTCCCGGCTTTCATGTTGATGACTATGCTGCGCGTTATTGGGCTGAAATGGTCAGCAACTGCTTGGGTGATACTGCGCTGTTTCGTTACCTCGATAACAATCTGTTGCATAATATCGAAACAGAAGGGAACATCGTGTCTCAATATAGTGATGGGAAGTACAAAAAACGTTTGTTTGTATATGATGGTAAAACTTCGGGTGCGAGAACTTATGCGAACAAAACAAAACATCGTATAAAACAAACATTTGGTGGATCTTTATCTCTTTACGAACTGAGTTATTGTATTCAGCCAAGTAGTGGACGATATGTTGACGTGAAAGATTCTTTATGCAGCGACACAGCAAAGCAAATGATTACTTTCGGTAAGTAAAATATTTTACACTTTTTTTTCTTTCAATACGTCAGTAAATTTTAATTTGCGTGACTTTTACAATGCTTATTTCTGACATCATTTCTTAAAAGTACTCCGTCATTGTACGCAAAAGGTGGGTCATTGACTGGTTTCTTTCGTTGTAAATGCTGTACATGCATGTATGTAACTCCGTAAATAAAAATATGGGTCGTCCTCAAAAAATAACCTAGGGTTACTGTCCGAGATTTGGAAGGCTGCTATCATCTGCGAAATTATGACACTGATTTAAAATTACCAAAACCAAGAACCAATTTTTTAAAACGCAGTTTCAATTACAGTGCGTCCAGTATGTGGAATAGTCTTCCGACAGAAGCGAAAAAAGCTACTTCAGTTAGACAATTTAAGCGCTCAATCTCAAATTCAACCTCATTTAATCTATGATATAAAATAAGTCATTATTCCTCCACACATTTATCTCTAATCTTGTAAATATTGTACTATCTTCCAATCTTGTAAATATTGTACGATGTTAGTATGTATTATTGTACTATCTCTATATTTTCTTTGAATTATTCACACGCCCCTCCTGGACTATCAAATATTATTAAAGTTGAGTGAGGCTAGCGTGTTTTAAATAAAGTGACGTATGTATGTATGTACAGTATGTCATTGCCCTGTATATTGGAATAGCTAGTAGAGAATTCAAACCGGTGCCTTTAGGTTTGTGTCGTCACCGACGTCACGCATATCGCATTACGCGCTGTTATCACTTTACCATCAATAAACCGTCCTACAAAACCCTATACTGTGTCATTGACGACACGAATGTACCTGTTTATTAACGTCTCTATTGTTAGGCTCAGTGATACAGTTCGGCGAAAGAATGAAATATGTTCATTGCGCCCCAATACAACGTATGGTGATCCACAAAGCACATTATGGCGACTTCAATAATAGCGGGACATTTGATATCAATGTAACTATTGATAAGAAGTGTAGTCGACAAGCAAGTTGTCAAGTGAAATCTCTTTGTGGTGGAAACAGATCTTGTGAACTGACCATTGACAATAATTTACTGTCCCCATACTGCTCTGATACTAAAAAAGAACTTTATATCGAGTACACTTGTGTGGATAACTATATGAATCCCATAAAAGCAGGTATTATGCGTTATCGTAAAGTCTTTTAATTAAATGACTGCTTTGAGTGCTTTTAAATTGAGTGTTTTTCAACGGGCATAGGCTATATTGGGGAAACTGAAGTCCTTTTAGATTTCATGTTAGAATTAGCCCATGCAGTGATAGAAAAAAACAAATTTTGTGTTTGCCATGTGTAAAATTCGCTCAAAATTTTTATATTTTTTTTGGGCAGCAATTTTTTTCAAATGTCTGATACAGGCACGCCGCATCATCGATGTTGCGTTTGTTGGTTTGTTCGTGATGACATGTTATGAAATGAAATGTTTGTTTGAAGGGACTGATATACATTGTTTGTTTCAGCTCCCGACATAAGATTATCAAAGTCACCGAGCGAAGGTTTCATTGAAATAAAGATTGGTTCCACTTGGAAAAAAGTGAAAGAGGAAATCTGGGATATCACTCGTGAAAAATCGCTGTGTCAGCACTTCGGGTTTAATGAGACACTTGGGAGCGGTAGTAAAACTCAGGGAATTAAAGCAGGTCTAGAATTCGTAAGTGGTGACTTGTGTTATGACGTACCTCAAAACGAGAGATGCTGTGTCCATCTTTATCCCTCTATAACAACGTCAACAGTTGATGCACCATATGTAACATGTGAGTAGATGTGATCAAGCCATTCTAGCTAATTTCATCCTAAAAACAGACAACATAACCTTTTAGTCTTGTTCAGCTTGCTGACCTTTAAAAAAATGTTCTCTGTTTTAGGTAAAACTTGCGAGAACCCATTATTACAGAACAAAACTAAGCTTCCAGACGCGATATTTTCTGGAAGTGGTTCCACTGACAATACCACGTACAAAGAAGCGAGATTTTCTAGCGATGGTTGGTGTCCAACAGAGTCTGGAGACAAATATCTTATGATTGACCTTCAAAACGAATATCACATAACACGAGTTATTGTTATGTGTGATAAAAATCAAACAAAATGGGGTGGATCATATTCATTGAAATACAGTCATGATGAAAGTTTGGTAGACGGTAGTAGTGGTTTACAGGTTAGTACGTGAATATCTTTGATACATGATTAATATACCACTGTAAGAATGGGAAATAATTTATATAAATAATGCCAATGTCAAGATTAATGCCAACCGCTTTAAAATACACAAACAAACGAATCGTTGTAACCGCAATGCCATGCACTTTTTGGACTGACTATAGGAACAGATGAGGGAAATATATTGCGGTAAAACCTAGAATTTATACAATATATTAACTACTGTAATTTTTACGGTATCAAAGAAACTGCAACAAGATAAGAATCAAAACAATCGTGTAACGTAATCTTAACTAAAGTGATTCATTTTTTTCAAAACTTCTTGCATAGATAAATGGTAATCAAAACGGTTATCAAGCATCGGCGACAGACATCGACATTTATAATGTCAGATATATAAAGTTAGAGTCAAACGGGGGAACAAAATTTTGTCTTAGAATAGAAGTGTGTGGTGAAGGTGAGTTGGTAGAATCTTTAATCGCCAGAAACCTTTTAATTTACTTTTTGATTTTAGCAAGAGAAGGGAGAAATGAGGTAGAGAAGGTTTTGTAAATACAGCAACCGAAAGATTTTACTATAAGATATTTTTTCAGTTTAAATTCTCTCAGCTCAAGCATGTTCACCTGCTGTAGTATAAAGCGAATAAACGTTTTGGTATTCTCGTTCCAGTCCAAACGCCTGCTCCCGTACAAAGTATTGTCGCCGAACCATCGTCCTATTCTGTTAATCTATCCTGGACAATGCCAGTGGCTAAAAACTCTTCTTATATTACACATTTCATCATTTACTTGAACGGCACAAAGAGAAAAAGAATATCTCGTGTACAACATGGAAATAATTTCATTCTTCGAGGTCTAAAACCTAACACTTATTATAAAGTTGGCATAATGTCCCAGGATGGATATTCAAAAAAGTCCATAGCGGTCTACAAAAGTTATAAAACTAAAAGAGCAGGTAAAAATAAAGATGCCAAGTCTGGACCTGGTTGGGCTTAATTATTTAGTGAGCCACTCTACCTGTTGCTTTTACTCCAACTTCTACGCTTTAGTTTCAAGTCAGCTTTAGTACGTTTGTAGTAAATTTAGATTGTTGATTTAGAAACTGACTGCATGTCTCCGTTTTCCCCTATTACGTCATCTTTATTTGGTTTTGCACGCTAATAATAAAGGCTTAGTATACTGTCCTTTCTACTTCAACACTGCTATTGTGAAGGTTGTATTGCAGCAATGACAATATTTTGCACAAGTGTATATTTTCCCTGTTGACACTGAAAGTGAGTCAAAATAAAATTTTTGAATATTCAATCGTAAATTATGATTAGGCATCCTTCCGATCATGATTTAAGATGTGTTTTGGGCTTTTTTATCCACCCTCTAAGAATGAGGATCTTAAGTTTGCATGATCTGTATTAAAGAGAATTTTAAAAAACTCATTTTTATTCTTCCGTTGTTCAGGTTTTTTTCTTAGACACACTAAGTCAGGAAAGTGTCTCGCAGCTAAAACTCCAACCTTTAGCCATAATAGCTATGGCACCCGTTATTGGGCTGAAATGGTCACCAACTGCTTGGATGATCTTGCCCTGTTCCGTTACCTGGATAACGAAGTGTTGCATAATATCGAGACAGAAGGGAACGTCGTGTCTGATTATCCTCATTACAATAGTCGTTTGCTTATATATGACGGGAACAATAAGCGTGGAAGAGATTATGCAAACAGCACAAAACATCGTATAAAACAAACAGTTGGTGGTTCTCTATATCTTTACGATGTGAATGATTGTGTTCAGCCTAGTGTGCAGTATGTTGACGTGAAAGATACTTCATGCACCGAAGAAGCAGCACAAAAAATTACTTTCGGTAAGCAAAATTACTTTGCAATTGAACTTATACATTGGGTCGTTTTTTCCTGTTATAAGTGCTACATACATTCTGTATAGTCTATAAGTTGTAATCAGAAGGGGAATCCTTTAAACCGACTGCTCACTGTTATCTTGCTGTTTAGTTGATTTAAAAATCTTTTGCCGGCCTTCTAAAATGGCACCGTGTAAACTAGCACAGATTGCGTCGGGAGATGATTAAAGAGAGAGGACTAAACCAGTGCCTTTTTAAGGATTTCTTCGTCGCGGGGAATGACAAAAGAGACCTTTTGTCACGATTGAGAGGGAAAGGGGAAATAAAGGGAAATATCTTTTTCATTGGGGGGGGGGGCGAAAGTCCATCAGTGAGAACGGAAGAGGGACTGAGGGTTATAACTGGGGGGCAGTTTTTTTATCTCCAGGCATATCGCATTAAGGCGGATTTCCATTCGGTGCAAAATATCGCGCGATCGACTTTATATGATCGCTTTCTTTTGAAATGCAAACAGTCAAGCGGAATTAATCCCATTAGATCAGCTTGAATTAAAACATTTTAAAAGAAAGCGATCGCAAAAAATCGATCACGCGACATTTTGCACTGAATATGAATCCGCCTTTACGCATCGCATTACTGGCTTGTGCGAAATTACTTTATTGCAAAAAATCAGAGAACGTTCTATGGGCCGAGTGTCTCTTCTGTTTGTTTCCAATATGACATGAATGTGCATTTTTTATAAACGTGCCCATTGTTAGGTTCAGCGACTCAGTACGGCGACAAAATGAAAGATGTTCATTGTTCTCCAATACAACGTATGGTGATCCACAAAGCTCATTATGGAAATTTCATTGATGCTGCAACATTCAATGCCAATGCAAATATTGATAAGAAATGTAGTGGACAAGCAAGTTGTGAAGTGAAATCTCTTTGTGGTGGAAACAGATCTTGTGAACTGACCATTGACAATAATTTACTGTCATCACAACATTGTCCTGATACTACAAAAGAACTTTATATCGAGTACACTTGTGTGGATAATTATATACGTCCCATTACAACAGGTGGGCTATGATGCGTTATGGTTCAATCTTTTTGATTTTATATTACTATAAAAAGATATCCAATGATAGAAAAAAATCAAATTTTGTGATTCCATGCATAAAAATCGTTCTAGTAGAAATCAACCTTAGGACTGTTTTTGACGTCGCTCAGGTTTCTTTTCATTTGTTACAAGTCGACTGATTCGGATCCATTTGATCCGGTCATTTATTCGAAAAATTTAGCCTCATGGTGAACTGCCTTCCTCTAAAAATGTTCCTTGCACGAAATTTCAGATGGAGGAAGTTGGGATCTCTGGTACAAAAGCGAAATTTTCGGAATAATAACGCTTGTTTGAAATGATATACATTGTTCTACAGTTTTAGCTCCCGACATAAGATTATTAAAGTCACCGAGCGAAGGTTTCATTGTCTGCAAGCTACAAGACTTTCCAAAAAGATAGTAAATATATTCGAAATTATATACACTTTATTAGGTATTTTGTTTGTTTCAGCTCCCAACATAAGATTATCAAAGTCACCAAACGAAGGTTTCATTGAAATAAAGAATGCTTCCACTTGGAGAAAAGTGAAAGAAGAAATCTGGGATATCACTCGTGAAAAATCGCTGTGTCATCACTTCGGGTTCAATGGGACACTGGGGAGCGTTAGTAAGACTCAGAAAATTATAGAAGGTGAAGCATTCGTAAGTGGTGACTTATGTTACGACGTACATCAAAACGAGAGATGCTGTGTCAATCTTTATCCCTCTGTAGCAATATCAAAAGAGGATGCACCATATGTAACATGTGAGTAGGATTTTGATCAAATCTTTTTAATGAATTTCATCCTAAAAACAGACAACATAACCGTTTGGTTTCGTTCAGCTTGCTGACCTTTTAAAAACTATACTCTGTTTCAGGTAAAATTTGTGAGAACTCATTATTACAGAACAAAACTAAGTTTCCAGACGCGATATTTTCTGGAAGTGGTTCTACTGACAATACCAAGTACAAAGAAGCGAGATTTTCTAGCCATGGTTGGTGTCCAACAGAGTCTGGAGACAAATATCTTAAGATTGACCTTCAAAACGAATATCACATAACACGAGTTATGGTTATGGGTGATAAAGATCAAACAAAGTGGAGTGGATCATATTCATTAAAATACAGCCATAATGAAAGTTTGGTAGACGGTAGTAGTGGTTTACAGGTTAGTACAGTATCTCTGATACGTGATTAATATACCACTGTAAGAATGGGAAATATATAAATTAATGCCATTGTCAAGATTAATACCAACCGCTTTAAAATACTCAAACAAACGAATCGTTGTAGCAGCAATGCCCTGCACTTTTTGGACTGACTATAGGAACAGATGAAAGAAATATATTGCGGTAAAACCTAGAATTTATAGAATATACTAACTACTGTTATTTTTACGGTATCAAAGGAACTGCAACAAGACGAGAAAATAATCAAGCAACGTAATCTTAACCAAAGTGATTCATTTTTTTCAAAACTTCTTCTATAGATAAATGGTAATCAAAACGGTTATCAAGCATCGGCAACAGACAGCGACATTTATAATGCCAGATACATAAAGTTGGAGCCGAACGGAGGAACAAAATTTTGTCTTAGAATAGAAGTATGTGGTGAAGGTGAGTTGCTAGAATCTTTAATCGCCGGAAACCTTTAAATTTACCTGTTGATGTTAGCAAGAGAAGAGAGAGATGAGGTAGAGAAGGTTACAATACGGCACAAAAAATAAACCTAAAGAATTTGCTTGATAAGATTTTTTTTCAGTTTAAATTCTCTCAGCTCAAGCATGTTCACCTGCCGTAGTATAAAGCGAATAAACGTTTTGTTATTCTCGTTCCAGTCCAAACGCCGGCTCCTGTACAAAGGATTGTCGCCGAACCATCGTTCTATTCTGTTAATGTATCGTGGACAATTCCAGTGGCTAAAAAGTCTTCTTATATTACACATTTCATCATTTACTTGAACGGCACAAAGAGAAAAAGAATATCTCGTATACAATATGGAAATAATTTCATTCTTCGAGGTCTGAAACCTAACACTTATAAAGTTGGTATAATGTCCCAGGATAGATATTCAAAAAAGTCCATAGCGGTCTACAAAAGTTATAAAACTAAAAGAGCAGGTAAGAATAAAGATGCCAAGTCTGAACCTGGTTGGGCTTATAATTATTGAGTGAGCCACTCTACCTGTTGCTTTTACTCCTACTTTTACGCTTTAGTTTAAAGTCAGCTTTAGTACGTTTGTGGTAAATTTAGATTGTTGATTTAGAAACTGACTGCATGTCTCCGTTTTGCCCTATTACGTCATCTTGATTTGTTTTTTCACGCTAATAATACAAGCTTAGTGTACTGTCCTTTCTACTTCAACACTGCTATTTTGAAGGTTGTATTGCATCAATGAAAATGTTTTGCACAAGTGTATAAAGAACACCGGAAATACGGTAGTAATTCAACATATTTGCAACTAACCGCACTTCTAAAAATCATGTTCTAGTTTTCCCTGTCGACACTAAAAGTGAGTTAGAATAAAATTTTTCGATCATGATTTAAAAGGTGTTTTTGGCTTTCTTATCCACCCTCAAGAATGAACATCTTAAGTTCGTATGATCTGTATTAGAGAGAATGTTAAAAAACGCATTTTATTCTTCCGTTGTCAAGGGTTTTTTCTTAGACACACTCAGTCAGGAAAGTGTCTCGCAGCTGAAATTCCCACCTTTAGCCATGATAGCTATGCCTCCCGTTATTGGGCTGAAATGGTCACCAACTGCTTGGATGATTTGCGCTGTTCCGTTACCTGGATAACGAAGTGTTGCATAATATCGAGACAGAAGGGAACGACGTCGTGTCTGAATATGGAAGATACAACAATCGTTTGCTTATATATGACGGAAAAAATCAGGCTGGGAGAGATTTTGCAAACAGCACAAAACATCGCATAAAACAAACAGATGGTGGATCTCTATATCTTTACAATGTGGGTGATTGTGTTCAGCCTAGTGTGCAGTATGTTGACGTGAAAGATACTTCATGCACCGAAGTAGCAGCACAAAAAATTACTTTCGGTAAGCAAAATTACTTTGCAATTGAACTTATACATTGGGTCGTTTTTTCCTGTTATAAGTGCTACATACATTCTGTAGTCTATAAGTTGTAATCAGAAGGGGGATCCTTTAAACCGACTGCTCACCGTTATCTTGCTGTTTAGTTGATTTAAAAATATTTTGCCGGCCTTTTAAAATCGCTCGGTGTAAACTAGCACAGTTTGCGGGGGGGGGGGGGAGAGTTTAAAGAGAGAGGACTAAACTAGTGCCTTTTTAGTGATTTTTCGTCGGGGGAGGGGGTGACAAAAGGGACCTTTTGTCATGATTTAGAGGGAAAGCGGAAGTAAAAGAAAATATTCCATTCACTCGGGAGGGGGCGAAAATCCATCAATGAGAACGGAAGAAGAGCTAGGGGTTTATAACCTGGGGTCCCAGTTATAAAGTTGAGAAGGCCCTGGCCTAACTAATGGAGCATTCCTTTTAACTTGTACTTTTCGTGCTCTTCATTTTTCCCATTCTCTTGATGTTCATGTAATGATAATTACGAAACACTATGGATAGAGAAAATCTATAGATAGGGGTAATACCTAGTGTTAAACTTTATGTCATCTCTGTACGGGGAATATCCTGCTGCGCTGATCATGTCAGACGGAGCCTTTTATTTTTTATCGCCAGGCATATCGCATTATGCATCGCATTACTGGCTTGTGCGACATTAATTTATTGCGAAAAATCAGAGCACGTTCTATGGGTCGAGTGTCTCTTCTGTTTGTTTCCAATATGACATGAATGTGCATTTTTTATAAACGTCTTCATTGTTAGGTTCTGTGACTCAGTACGGCGACAAAATGAAAGATGTTCATTGTTCTCCAATACAACGTATGGTGATCCACAAAGCTCATTATGGAAATTTCATTGATGCTGCAACATTCAATGCCAATGCAAATATTGATAAGAAATGTAGTCGACAAGCAAGTTGTGAAGTGAAATCTCTTTGTGGTGGTAACAGATCTTGTGAACTGACCATTGACAATAATTTACTCTCGTCACAATATTGTCCTGATACTACAAAAGAACTTTATATCGAGTACACTTGTGTGGATAGTTATACGAATCCCATAACAACAGGTATGATTTTATATTACTATAAATTGCCTAATGATAGAAAAAATAAAATTTTGTGATTCCATGTATAAAAATCGTTCTAGTAGAAGTCAACTTTAGGACTGTTTTTGACGTCGCTCAGGTTTCTTTCATTTGTTTGAAGTCGACTGATTCGGATCCAGTTGATCCTGATCGTTTAATCGAAAAATTTCGCCCGATGGTGAACCGCCTTCCGCTAAAAATATTACTCGCGCACGAAATTCCTCGCAATTTCAGATGGAGGAAGTTGGGATCTTTGATACAAAAGCAAAATGTTCGGATAATAACGCTAATTTGAAATGATATACATTGTTCAACAGTTTTAGCTCCCAACATGAGATTATCAAAGTCACCAAACGAAGGTTTCATTGAAATAAATGATGGTTCTGCTTGGAGAAAAGTGATAGAAGAAACCTGGGACATCAGTGTTGAAAAATCGTTGTGTCAGCACTTGGGATTTAAAGGGACCGTGGGGAGCATTGTTAGGACTGAGGGAATCGAGCTAGGTCGTGAAATTGCAAGTGGTGACTTATGTTATGACGTACCTCAAAACGAGAGATGTTGTGTCCACCTTAATCCCTCTGTAACAACAACAACAGTTAAGGCGCCATATGTGAAATGTGAGTATATAGGATGTTATTAAAATGATTTTAGTATTCATCCGGCTTAAACACAAATAACACGATAATCACGTGTCAAATCAAAAAACCGTTCTCGTTTTAGGCAAGATATGTGAGACTGCATTATTACAGAACCACACCAAGTTTCCAGACGCGATATTTTCTGGAAGTGGTTCTTCTGACGATACCAAGTACCAAGAAGCGAGGTTTTCTAGCGATGGTTGGTGCCCAACAGAGTCTGGAAAAAAATATCTTAAAATTGACCTTCAAAACGAATATCACATAACTCAAGTTGTGGCTATGGGTGATAAGGCCCAAATAGGTTGGGGTGAATCATATTCTTTGAAATACAGTCATGATAAAAGTTTGGTGGATAAAAATCGTGCAATAAAGGTAGTGATAATAGGCATTTTAACGTGACACTAAAATTCGTATTCGTCCTTAACAATTAGCTGTCTCGATGTTGGGAAAACTTGACCATGACAATTGAAGCATGAAATGTAAACTAAGCTGTCGAAATCCTGTATAGTGTTCATACTTTCTGATGTGAGTTAAAGTTTTCGGTTACTGGGTTCGTGTAAGATCTTTTGAACTCTATTGTATGCTACAAATATTCCACTTTCAGGTGATAGGAAATCAAAACAGTCATCAAGCATCGACTACAGACGTTGATATATACAATGCGAGATATATAAGGATAAAACTAAATGCAACAACACTCTTTTGTCTGAGAATAGATCTCTGCGGTGAAGGTAAGGTTTCACTACTGTTTTTATAAATCCTACCGAAAAAACAATAGATCAGAATCTTAATCTTGGATTTTTCTTTAAGTTTAATGTATATAATTGCAGTGCTCTGTTTCTTTAGCCCAAACTCCAGCTAAAGTAACGAAGTTTATGATCACACCATCTGATTATTCTGCCCATCTGTCTTGGAACATACCAGGTCCTAATGAATCTTCGTACATAACACATTATGTTATTTATTTGAACGGGACCGAAGTGCGTAAAATATCTCGTGCAATGTATGGTAGTCAGTACACTCTTCAAGGACTTGAACCATACAAGAACTATACTGTTGGTATACAGACACAGGATGGTAATTCTCAGAATTCCTGGGTGGAATACAAAACCTTCACGACCAAAGAAGCTGGTAAGCATATAGGGAAATAAAGTATTGTTTTGAAATTATTGAGATATCTCGGTGTGGTTTTATGAAGAGAAAGCATAGAACGGCATAACTTCTCAACTATACGCTTATATATTCTCCCCCCCCCCCATTTTGGGATGTACAATCACCACAAATGTGTACATTGCGTAACGCTAGAAAATTCAAATTGAACAGAACGCTGATTTCTCAACAGAAAACATCCAGCGTTCCATATTAAGTTCATATCCAATGAGCTGTTCATATCCAAACACTGTTCCTTGTTTTAGTGAAGATATGCGAGAATGCATTATTACAGAACCACACCAAGTTTCCAGACGCGATATTTTCTGGAAGTGGTTCTACTGACAATGCCAAGTACAAAGAAGCGAGGTTTTCTAGCGATGGTTGGTGTCCAACAGAGTCTGGAGACAAATATCTTAAGATTGATCTTCAAAACGAATATCACATAACACGAGTTATGGTTATGGGCGATAAAGATCAGACGAAGTGGAGTGGATCATATTCATTGAAATACAGTCATAATGAAAGTTTGGTAGACGGTGGTAGTGGTTTACAGGTTAGTACGTGAGCATCTCTGAAACGTGATCAATATTCTGCTGGTTATCAAGCTTAATTTGGAGACTGCAATTATAATTTCTTTCCAAAAGTACTGACTCGGACGTAGATAAAAATCTCTTGCTTTTAAGCGATATTCTCTACATTTATCCTATGAAATAAGAAAGTGTGTTTTTTCCTAAATCCTCTTTTAGATAACAG